CAGCCCGTTTTAGTGGTTTCCCTGCACCAACACACTCGACTCACTGGTAGAATCACCTGCGCTCATCAGGCTCTGCAGAAGCCTGTTAACTCATTCACTGCCATTGACGACAAAAGTCGTCATTTTAAATCCAAATTTTGAAAATTGCTGGCAGCAAAGGGCTTTACTGACCAGGAACGTCTGGCAGTGAATGTGTTAATAAACACTAATGTAATGAACACATGCGCCATAAACACTGGACAAAGGCGCAATAAACACGCTTAAAAAACAATTTATTAACTCATTCACTGCCATTGATGACAAAAGTCGTCATTTTAAATCCAAACTTTGAAATTTGCTGGCAGAAAACGCCTTCATTGATCAGGAAATGTCTGGCAGTGAATGAGTTAATAAACACGAATGTAATTAACACATTCGCCATAAACACTGAACAAAGGCATAATGAACATGCTTACAAAAAAAATGTATTGCCTCATTCACTGCCATTGACGACAAAAGTCGTCATTTTAAATCCAAATTTTGAACATTGCTGGCAGCAAAGGGCTTTACTGACCAGGAACGTCTGGCAGTGAATGAGTTAATCACCTGCTGACTGTAATCAGGTGAGTAGAAACTAAAATGGTTTAAACTAAAATGTGCTGGATACCCCTTATCTACTGGGTTTTGTTCAGATTAGTCTCCTCCCTCCACACAGCCTCTGGTCAGTCAGCCCTGTTCAGCCCACCTGAGCCACACCTCACCTGTGCACTGCCCTCTCAAAGCTCTCCCCAGGCTTTTACCAGCAGAGATAATGTTCTCCGTGCTCCTGTTTCCAGGCTGACTACCATGTTGATCTCGTGTTATTATTCCTACAGAACTACAGAGTCAGATTTAAACCTCCATTAAAATGGATTCCTCAGATGTTGAGCTCTGGTTTTAAGGAGGAGGTGTATCTGTGGGGCTGACTGATGGCTGGCAGGTAGACTGAGAGAGTTGGGGATAATTAGGTCGCCCCTTGATTTTTGAATAACATCTAACCAAAGCCACACAAGGGAGGCCCACAGCGGAGCTGCTGGGCTATTTTTAGCCTCTCCGCTGCATGCTGGTCCAGGCTGAAGATGTTTGGCGTTGACTTGTGGCTGCAGGTTGTGAGTGTGTAAAGGGTGCGAGTGAGCGCTGTGACACAACTAAATGAGTAGTGTTTCTGTGCAGCACACTGAGCCTCTTTCTCCACACATGAGCTGAGCTGAAAAGAGCCTGTTCACCAGCACTCACTAGACCTGCAGCCATAACACCGCTCTGTGTGTGTTTCTCTCGTTCTCATTCATTTGTGGATATGTGGTTGACATGTTAGTCAGACATTAGTCTGACATGTGAATGAAAACATACGCTGTGTGCTAACACAGCTCCATCTTGACTGGAGAGCTTTTGGAGGAACCGGGTTTCAGCTAAGCTTGCTGGCAGTTTGCCTCTCTTTAAAACGTTTCTCGTAGGAGTTTATGCTGAGTGGGCGCTTGGACTTCAGGGTTCAGATTCAGATCATTAAAATTTGTGTACTCAATTAAATTCAATTCAAGTTTATTTATATAGCGCCAAATCACGACAAGAGTCGTCTCAACTGGCACTTCACATAATAAACATTCCAATTCAGGTCAGTTCATTTAGCCAATCAGAAATAATGTTTCCTATATAAGGAACCCAGCAAATTGCATCAAGTCACTGACTAGTGTCAGTGACTTGATGCAATCCTCATACTAAGCAAGCATAAAGCGACAGTGGAGAGGAAAACTCCCTTTTAACAGGAAGAAACCTCCAGAGAATCCTGACTCAGTATAAGCAGCCATCCTCCATGACTCACTGGGGATGGAGAAGACAGAGCACACACACACACACACACACACGCACGCACACGCACACACACACACATACACACACACGCACGCACGCACGCACACGCACGCATGCACGCACACACACACACACACACACACACACACACCAAGTAATGTGTCTATAGTTATATTGTGATTTCTTAGTAAATATTCTATTTGGCGAGAGAGATAAACTTTATTGTATTTATCCTAGTGGATCTATAATTAAACGGATAAACTAGAGCCGTCTTTACCGACTGTACACTCCACCTCCCTGTACTCCCCCACTTGTCCAGATCTAGTCTAACATCAGATTTTAGCCATAGGCCCTATCAAATAAAAATGTTTTAAGCCTATTCTTAAAAGTAGACAAGGTGTCTGCCTCACGGACTAAAGCTGGGAGCTGGTTCCACAGGAGAGGAGCCTGATAACTAAAAGATCTTCCTCCCATCCTAATTTTAGATATTCTGGGAACCACCAGTAAACCTGCAGACTGAGAGCGAAGTGCTCGGTTAGGAACGTATGGAACAATCAGATCACTGATGTATGATGGAGCTTGATTATTAAGAGCTTTATATGTGAGAAGAAGGATCTTAAAATCTATTCTGAATTTAACAGGTAGCCAATGTAGGGAAGCTAAGACAGGAGAGATATGATCTCTCTTTTTAATTCTCATCAGAACTCTAGCTGCAGCATTTTGGACAAGCTGAAGACTTTTAACTACATTCTGTGGACTTCCTGAGAGTAATGAATTACAGTAATCCAGTCTTGATGTAATAAATGCATGAACTAGTTTTTCAGCATCACTCCTGGAAAGTATGCTTCTAATCTTAGCAATATTCCGAAGGTGGAAAAAGAAAATCCTACAAACCTTTTTAACCTGGGATGTGAATGACATGTCCTGGTCAAAGATAACACCAATGTTTCTTACTTTGTTCCAGGAGATAAATATAATGCCATTCAGGTCAGGTGATTGACTAATAAATTTCTTTTTCTGAATTTCAGGTCCAAAGATGAGAACTTCAGTCTTGTATTGATTTAAAAGCAAAAAGTTTAGAGTCATCCAACTTTTATGTCCTCAAGACAAGCCTGTAATCTACCCAACCGATTAGGTTCATCAGGGTTAATGGATAAATATAACTGAGTATCGTCAGCATAACAGTGGAAGTTTATCCTATGCTGTCTAATGATTTTATCAATTGGGAGCATATATATAGTAAAAAGGTTTGGTCGAAGTACTGAACCTTGTGGTACTCCACAAGTAACCCTGGAGTATGAAGAAGATTTGTCATGTACATTTACAAAATGAAATATGTCAGACAGGTAGGATTTAAACCAGCCTAGCGCTGTTCCTTTGATCCCTACAACATGTTCAAGTCTTTCTAAAAGAACATTGTGATCAACTGTGTCAAAAGCAGCACTGAGATCTAACAAGACTAGAACAGACACAAGATTCTTATCTGAGGCCATGAGAATATCATTTGTAACTCTCACTAATGCAGTTTCAGTGCTGTGATACTCTCTAAAACCAGACTGAAATTCCTCAAACAGAGCATTAGTGTTTAAATGCTCACATACTTGGATGGCCACTATTTTCTCCAGGACTTCGGAAAAAAATGGAAGGTTAGATATTGGTCTATAATTCATTGGGTCATCTGGATCCAGAGAAGGCTTCTTAAGTGAAGGTTTGATTACAGCAACCTTAAAATCCTGTGGTACATATCCATTTACTAAGGATAGATTGATTATATCTAGAATGGGGGCAGTAACCAAAGGAAATGCTTCTTTAAATTATTTGGTTGGGATTGGAACCAAAATGCAAGTTGAAGGTTTAGATGAAGCTAATATTTTTGATAAATCTGAAAGCTCAACTGGATCAAAACGGTTCAAACACAGATGAGGTTCTACTGTTACCTCTGATGCTGCCTCACTTACTGAGGAAGAAGAAATCGCATTAGGGAGGATGCTAAAGATTTTGTTTCTAATAGAATTAATTTTACTTGTAAAAAATCCCATGAAGTCATTGCTGCTGAGGGCTAAGGGAATAGATGGCTCAGAGCTATGATTCTGTGTAAGTTTAGCAACTGTACTGAAAAGAAATGTAGGATTATTCTTATTCTCTTCAATTAGCTATGAAATATAAGCAGTTCTAGTTTGTCTAAGCTTATTTTTATAAAGCACAAGACTATTTTTCCAGGACAGGTAGGCCTCCTCATGGTGCGTAGAGCGCCATGTTCTCTCCAATTTCCTAGAGTTTTGTTTTAAAGCTCGTAAATGAGAATTAAACCAGGGAGCCAACTTCCTGTCCCTAATTACCTTCTTTTTTAAAGGGGCAACATCATCTAATGCCACACGTAAAGAGGAAGTAACATGATGAACTAAGGTATCAATTTGTGAGGGGCTAGAAATGAAAATATTGCCCTGTGCTACATGCCTCTGAGATGCTGAGGACAGTAAAGATGGAACAGTTGATTTAAAAGACGCAACTGCGTTGTCAGATAGAGACCGACTATAGTGAAATTTACTTTCATGTCTCGAGAACTCAACTCAAAGGTTATCAGAAAGTGGTCCGAGAGGACTGGATTATGTGGAAAGATCGTTATTTCCTCACACTCTATGCCATAAGTCAGCACAAGGTCTACTCCCTTCTGGCTAAACTCTTTCTCTGCCGTAGAAACTAGGGAGAGAGGTGCAGATTATTTAATCCGGCCTTCATAACAACCATTTACAACTATTTTATTTAGTCACTTGTTGGTTTGAGTCTTTACAGTGTTATAATTCTCCTGTCACAAGGTTCAGCTGTTTAAAGAGTCGGTGCAGGAAAATCCACCTCAGGACCTGCTTTTGTCCTCACACGCTTTAGCTGTTGTGTTCAGGCAGTCATTTAAACTCTCTTATAAAAAGACGGAGGTCAGACAATAAGCCGGTGACTTCATGGGAAAAACACTTTATAAGTTAAAATAAAATAACTTACATACAATAAAAACTAGATACAAGGATTAACCATCCATCCATTGTCCTCCTCCCATCTGGGCTTTGGTTGCAGACGTGACCCTGTGTGGATGAGCGGATGCAGAAAGCGGATGGCTCTACGGTTACACTTATCTACACTGCCCTCTAGGGGCATACAGATGTAAACGCAGCACTAGGGCGTGATCGGCACAAAAACGCGCATGCGCGTAGTGTCCAGCTGACACATTTTCAAAGTAGACGGCGGGTAGTTGAGTCGTACATAGAATCAGCACAAAGCTTCCTCGAGGAAAGCCAACCAGTAGCAGTTGGAAAGATGACCAGCACGCTGAAGGGAATCACTCTGAAAGGAAGTACAGAACTAGTGGCCGACTTCTTCTGTGAGTGTTCATGTCTCTGTTCCGCCTTTTGAACGCCGTTGACACGACGCGCAGCTAGCATGCTAGCGGGCCTCGGTGTGGCTCACCCAGCGTTGCAAGCTAAAGTCTGGTAAAGGGATACAAACGTGTTGCCTGAAGGTTTTTAAACAGGTCGGTGCTCTTACAGGTAGCGTTTCTGATATTTAGCATTTGGTGTAACTTTAACGTCAGTTGAACGTGTTGGAGGCAGTCCGCTCCGCTGGTGCAGAAATCCCGTTGAAAGACGAAAAAGAGCTCCGTTTACAGGTAAAACTGCACTGTTCTTGTGTGGCTTGTATGCCGAATCGATTAGAAGAGCGACATCAGTTAAATATATCGTGCTCTTATTCTACAACTTGTGTATATTCCTAGCAATCTTTGTGAAAGCTACATTTACCCGTTTAATGGACGATGTTTGGTCCAGGATGGAGTTGCTTCACACTGAAGATTCTTTACTCTTCATATTTAAATATTGCATACTTGACTCTTCCTATTCTAAACCAATCTCTGCTCACACACACACACACACACTCAGGTGCAGCAAATACAACGTACAAATGTTTTGTTTGTTCACAAAGATTTTAAAAGTTTAGCATAAAATAAGAAGGCAGGAAAACTTAAAATATGACTAAAAAATCCCTAAAGTAAAACGGGGAGTGGCCCCCTTATATCAGTTTTCTATTGGGCCATTCCCATCTGTACCAGGCCGGGTAGCCCCAGTCGGCCCCAGCCTGGCCCGGTTGATTCCACACATCCTTGCCTTAAGCCCATGTGGGCTGATTCTACCCACCAATCAGAGGCTTGCTCTAATGGAAGGTGTGAATTTGCTGTCAGCAGTGGGTGTGTTGGCCCTGGTCGGCCTGAAGCAGACCCCCTCGAGAAGAGGGCTGAGAATGAGCCTTGGTTGGCCCGGAAACATACCAGGCCACCCAGATATGTAAACAACCTACGCTACCCGGGCCGACCCGGTACAGATGGGAATGGCCCATATTTCTAGTCACAACCACCATGGTATACAAACACGTCGGTCTTCGTTCTGCAGAAACTCTTTACACTGACATGAGTCATAGGTGACTCGCTTTGCAGCACAGATGATGAGTAGACAAGCTTTAGTTTGACTGCTTGAATCAGAGATGTGCAGATGTGATTAACAGGAAACATTTCCCCCTCATTAGATCGTCTTATTCCTGTAATGAAGGGTTCTTGTGTTCTAAAACATGACGTGAAACTGCCCTCTGTTCTCCTCAGCCTTTGGCATCAACAGCATCTTGTATCAGCGGGGCATCTATCCTCCAGAGACGTTCTCCAGAGTCACACACTATGACATGAGTCTGCAGGTCACCACTGACTCCAAGCTGAAGAACTACCTGACCAACGTGGTGTCTCAGCTCAAAGGTAATTAGCTGACCGACCAACTCCGACTGGAGCTTATGCGTCCTCAAAGAGTGCCCAAACAGAGGTCAGAGGTGTGTTTGACTCGAGGGAATGCTCCTCTGTTCTTTGAGCTTTAGGCTCCACCCACATTTACCTTGTTGTTGAATCTAGGCAGCTTGGGGTCTCTACTGTAGCGTACCAAACCCAGTTGTGAAGCAGTAATGTTGTAATGGCCACGGAGAAACCGTTCGCTCTGAGACGAGCTTAGAGACGCCACCTTACATCTGCATGTGCCAACCCGCGGCCATGCTAGCTACAAATGTTTCGGTAAGCTTACCGCCGTCCGTTATTTCTGTTTATGTGGAGCTGAGAACCGACCCACTCCAAAACCAGATAACAGGTATGGGTGCCTGCAGCGGCCAAAAGGCCTCAGAAACTACCATCTGCTACTGTCTTTCCCTAATCAGTGATTTCAGCCATGTTTGCCTTTCTAACTGTAATAACTCTGCTGTATGACCCACGCCAGCATCACCTACTGTGGTGGACGTATTCATGCCTTCAAATGAGCTCATGTTGTTTTCACCTGGGCAAGAAAAACAAAATGACCAGATAATCATGACATGTCCCACCTCTTGTATTATGTCCCCCAAGCTAGACAGGTGTTGTCAAAAAAATCGATACCTAGATATAAATTGATACTAAAAGTGGTATCGATATTATAGACTATTATACACAGCCTTCTTCAAGTACACCGACACGCACGACATCCAGATGCCGTAAAGCAGCCTCCCCTTCCCAGACAAACAGAAGAAGCTGCCGCATGGCTACATTGCAATTTCCCACGCGAGTTGTCTCCGATCCAAGTTTTGTCTGCCAAATAAATAAACAAAAACATAAACATCAAATTTGGGAGGTGCTTCACAGCCCAACTTAATTAGCATACCAAATCCGGCACGTAGTTGTGTATTCACGCTTATGTGCTTAAAGGAAAACTCCCGTTTATTGCAACCCGGACTTAATTCTAGCATGCAGTACGTTTGTTTACTCACGCTGACAACTTTGGTGCTGCTTGGATTCCCCGGGGTATTTAGATCCATTAGCGAATCGCCATCAGTGTATATCCATATAACGGGAGCGGACAGGCACCCATGGTGCAGCCTCGAAATAAGACATTATCTGCACCAAAACATCTCAATGTCGAAAGTTTTTTTTTTTTTAGGAATCGTTAACATGATTCCCCTGTTCGTTTGGAGCGAGTCTGGGATTTCTAGGTGTAAACAGACTAGCTGCGGCTAATCTAACCGGCGCTTTTAATGATGTCACTGCCGTGCGCCAGTCTGTTTTTATTAAGATTACCGGTAGATGTACCTTTGTCCTGCTGTGGAGAAATTCGTTTTCTCCCTTTATTGACCAACAGAGTTGTTCAAAAGTACAGAACAAAACATATGGCATTACATCTTATGACAAAAATGCACCTTAAACAGAGTTTAAGCAGCAAAACATCACTCTGCATATAGTGTATATATAGTGAGACAATTCATGATTTAAAGTGTTAACTTTCGCCAGTTTTTGTATGCAAGTTTAAAAAAAATGCTGATACTTGAAAGGTTTAAGCTCTTTACACACTTAATTCTTAACATTTAATTTTTGTAATATAAATTGAGGAATGTTACTTTTTGAATAAACTTGTTCAATAAATTGGTGTTTTTAAATAGTATCGAAATCGAGTATCGAATCCCCCCCCCCCCCCCGTATCGAATCGAGTTTGAAATTTTAGTATCGTGACAACCCTACTAGAGACAGGTGTTAAAATGAGAGTTTTAACCATGAACTGCCCCCGCGCGGGGCTGCTTTATCAGAAGCCACAAACATCGGTCGTTTGTGTTGCAGAGTGGCTGTATGAATGCACCGTGCAGAAGCTGGTGTTGGTCATCACGTGCCTGGAAACCAACGAGGTGCTGGAGAGATGGCAGTTCGACATCGAGTGTGACAAGTCTGCCAAGGAGAGCAGGTCTGCTTTCTACTGGTTTTACTAGTGCTGACTGGATGACTCGTTCAGAGGGTTTGTTCAGTCCAACATGTGGGCTTGAGTTCAGCTCCAGTCTGTGTGTAAACGGGTCAGCTGAGTCTGGTTCTGCTCCGGATGGGGCGGTTACCTTAAATTGATGCTTTAAAGGTGCAGTATGTAAGAATGTAGTGATAATTTTACAGTGAGAAAGTCCTAAGAGTCTGATGTTTCAGTCATTTAGGAAGGAAGGTTCTACTGAAAAAATTCTCATATCCAGCTGCTGGATTGTCCGTTTTTCTCCTTTCTAAACAAAGGAAGGCTGAACGTAACTACTGTGTACCATCATTGAGTGGGGGGCGTGTCTCCTGCGAGCTAATGCTGCAGCACCAACATTTGTAATTTGACGATGGCCACCAAAAAGCTCCAGAGTTGTTTGAAGTGGTTGCAGTAATCAGATTTTACCACAACATGTCATTTTTACTTAATTTCTACATAATGCACCTTTAATCCAGCCTGCTGGTACCTTCATTCAGAGATGGTTTAGGTCATTTGGCATTTTACAGTGAGACTAATTTGGTCAGAGTCCGGACTTCTGCCCTTATAGCCCTTTATAAGTTATAACCCTACGCTGTGTTGTTGCTAAGCCCGCTCCGTCGTTCAGCATCAGTCAGTAGCAGCGTCAGACACCGGCTTATGTACAGATGTCACTCACGGCGTACGTGAGCGTGCGAGGATGTACCTGGACTGATGCAGAGGTAGTGGCGTTTCAGCACTCATTCCTGAGTTGGTGTTTGTTCCCAGCGCTCCCAGAGAGAAATCCATTAAGACCATCCAAGATGAGATCCGCTCCGTCATCAGACAGATAACTGCTACGGTTACTTTCCTCCCACTGCTGGAGACGCCGTGTGAGTAACACACACACACACACACACGCACGCCAAAACAAGACGAGGCTGGTTCTCTTTCCGAATCGGGGTGGCGAGATCCTCAATTTTAATTCTGACCTTTGCCTTCTTGGCTGCAGGTGCCTTTGACCTCCTGGTGTACACGGATAAGGACCTGGTCGTTCCAGAAAAGTGGGAGGAGTCTGGCCCACAGATCATCGACCAATCAGAGGAGGTGCGTTTGCGCTCCTTCACCACCTCCATTCACAAGGTCAACAGCATGGTGGCGTACAAAAGGACCGACTCCGCCTAAACTATGAGCTGTACATCTCACACACACACACACACACCTTATAGTAGGTAACAGTGGCTTCTGGGGCTCTCTGTCCTCACAGTGGACATGTTTTCTTTTCTGAGTTTTACTTTGTCTCGTTTGTGAGAGGACGTGAAAGGATGCTGCTCACTCCTCTCTGCTGTAAATATTTGTCAAAGTTGTTTTCTTTAATGTTGTCGCTGACGTCACCAACCGTTGTTTTAGTGATTTGTACGTCCGACCTTTTAAACTGTCACAAATAAAGGCCTTTTGCCTTTCCTCCTGTCAATGGCGTGCCTTTCTTTTGTGACCACAAGGTGGCAGTGTGGTGTAGCGTGTTGTGTGCGTGCAGGCCAACAGACACCACAGAAAAGAAGTTTTATTCTTTATTCAGCCACTCTCTACTTGGCTCACAGTGGTGTGGACAGAAGAAGAACGTCCCTTTCTCCATGGGACCATATCAGCTTATTTCATTCAGTGTCTACAGAAATCCATCTTTAAAAACAGCTCTTACATATGAAATGTTTATTTTAAACATGCATGAAATCAACCTGAAGATCTCTCGGTGAGAAAACTAGATTTTTAGAAAAAGCACAGCCCTGGAGGCTACAGAGTAGCACGTGGCCATAGATACAAAGGAGCGCATGTACAAAGTGCTTCAGTTGTGCTGCGAGAACGCCACGAAGTGACCGCTGCTCGTGTGCGTACCGAGAATTCTGGAGATGAGAACGATCATCTCAACAGTCTAAAACGAACAGCGCCGACGTGGGGTGTTTTAGGTAAGGTAGGACTTAGTTTTAACAAAAGTACATTCAATGTTGTGTAGTTGCCTCACTGTCAATCCTGCATCCTCATCATGGATGAAGCTGCTGCGTTGTTACACCGTCTACCTGTGACTCATCTGGGTATCAAACTGTTCTAAATTCAATAAAATCACCAAGTTCCCTCGTCCATATCAAATATCTTCTGGTGTTAAAGCTCACACAAGCAGGTAAGGGAGGTTGTTTTGGTGGGGGGAGTCCCGATTGTCTGTGCTGTGGTTACTGGTGAAAACTGTAAAACCTGCCCAGTTTTCACCAGTAACCACAGTACAGAGACAACTGGGCAACTGCAGAGTGATCTAACGTCTGATCTAGAAAAACTCCAGCGATCCTTGAGGAGCCAAAAAGATCTGCCTGTACATCCACATGCAAATGGGGTTAGCCATGTTTGATGACTTCCTGCACAGGGCTGGATCCAGAATGACTAAAGACCAGACCGATCGGAGCGATCACTGGTGAAGGCCTCACTGAACATTTTTTTGTGATGTGTATTTGGTCATGTGACAGTGGTTGCAGGGGCGTGTCCAGATCTTTTAAAACGGGGTGGCCCAGGTGAGGCACAACTTTGTGCATGGGTGGCACCAATGGTTATGCTTTTTTTGTTTTACCCCCAAGCCTTTTGTGGACAATGAAAAGCCTATTTAGAGGTAAATTAGTGTGTTAGCACCTGGGGTGGCATGTGCTACCCCAGGCCACTCCCTGGACACGCCCCTGAGTGGTTGTAATCATCTCAGAAGTGTAAATGTGTGTGTACATAACGTAAATTCAACTTAAATCATTTTCATACTAAATCTGATTTTAGAAGCATGTCAGTATATCGGCTAATATCTTATCGGCCATAACAGTGATATTGATATCGGTGCATCCCTAGTTTAAATGTCCCTTCATCTGTTGGTGTGCAGCTAGAGTACTAAGCTGGAGAACTAATCAGACCTTCTCAAAAACAGCTCTAAATGTAACAAAATCTCACTGAAATCTTGAAAACATTTTACTCTTTCCTCTAAAATAAAAAAAACGTATGACTTTCAGTCAAATTAACTTTACCGATAAAAAACGCATCTGGTTTCCTGTTTTACTAAAAATGTTTAGTGTGGAGCAGCATGGGAATGGAAGCCTTTACCTCAGCCTTACATGATCAATCGTAGCAGTGGAGACATGATCTGCTCCTCCAGTTGGTTCTATTGTATAATGGTATGACATGCTGTTCATCTGAATGAGCTGTTCCTAAGAAAGATCCTGCAAAAGGTACAGGGAGACTTGTTTTGTAGTATTAAAACTATGTTTGCTGTAAGAAGTGCTGCTCTTTTCTAAAGTATACTCTCACAATATAGAAAATCTAATAAATATATAAAAAGAATAAATACACAATAGTTAAGACAGTGAATGTATAAAAGACTCAAACCCATATAGTGTGCGTGGACAGACGTCTAAAAGCGTTCATATGAGTGACACAGTGTGACGTGTACAGTAAGTACATCGTAGTGATCCCACTCATGATTCTGATCCATAAAGGTCAGCGGGACCAGCCAAGGAGGTGAAACTTCAGAAAGAGACACTCGTGCAAAAAGACAACAGCTATGGTATTAAATACAGCTTGGTGCTCTTACAACGGGAAATGGTTCAAACTAGACCCTGATCTTGAGTATCAATGTACATTTTGTGACTGCAACACATTGGTGCCCCTTGTTAGCTAAGACACTTTTAGCTTCTAACAAAATGGGGTTTACATTTGTATTTAGCAAAAAATGCACTCGTCTAAACCAATGGGACTGGGGGCTTTGCTAACAGCTAGCTGATGACAACATGCTAAAAACATCACCATGCAAATCAGAATCTACCAGGGTGCTTTTTTCTTCCTTGTGTGTTCAATGATGTCAACATAAAAACAATGGACCATAAACCAACCACAGCATTAGAAGATGGTCAATGGACATGGGAGTTTGGTTAAAGGCCCATTAGTCATCACACACACAGGTCAAATGTTTTCTCTGCATCTGACCCATCCTCGGGGGAGCGGCAGACATGGTCGCACTTGAAAACTATTTGGTGGTGCTACCCCCCCAATCCACCCCTTAATGCTGAGTGTCGAGCAGAGGCATTGGGGATCATTTTTAAAGTCTTTGGTATGACCCGCCTGGGATTTGAACCCATGACCTCACGGTGGACACTCATACCAGTAGGCCACTGCTGGTTAAGAAGTCCGTTATTAGTAAATGCTATTATTGTGTTTGGTACCCGAGGCCAACAATAATAGAAAGAACTACTTGGTTTTTGCTGCAAAGTCAGCCTTCACAACGCAGCAGTTAGATGAGGAAATGTCTGGACTGAGGGTAAGAGAAGTCCGTGCTGAAGTTTGCCACTAAAATGTTTATCGGTAGGCTGAGCACCAGACTGAAGTAACTGTCCAATGGCCTACAAATCTAGACAAACCAAAGCTAAACGATTTAGCTCTGCATGTCTGTCTAGCCACGCTCCACTCCAGCCTAATCAAACACAAAATGTCAGCGGCGTGTTGAAATGACATTGGCATCAACCTTGGACCACTTAGACGTGGGCTTTTCTTTGAGTCAGGAGCAGATAGATGTCCCTCATTTAGAAAAAGGATGTATTTGTGTCTTCTTCGACAGTGTACGGTGGACTTCCGCTGACTCATTGTCCAATAACAAGACTACTGTAGGTCCCGCCCCACGACTGAGCTTTCTCTGTGGGGTGTGACTAGACTATAAATTCACATATATAGGATGGCTTACCAGGCTAACTATCCACAACTTTGAACTATGAAAATAAGCTAGCTGGTGAAGTGATGAGAGGAAACAAATCTCCTCAAATGCAGCCCCCGATAACCATAAACGTTGCTTTTGTCTTGTGATACTTTTGTCATCTTTCTGTCCTTTTGGGGACGATTAACACAGAACATTGAAGTAAAGTTTTCAGTTTCTACAGCAGTAGAGGAACCTGGTACCGAGTGTATAAAACATCTAGACCTGACAGTGATAGACATCATATAAAAGCATATCAGATGTTAGCATGTCTGGTAGCATTAGCTGCAGTCCCACTGATTTAGAGAATGAACCAATAGGCTTTCACCTTATTTAAAGTTGGGGTACTTTTCAAGATCACTTTCTGCACACCCAGCATCTCATATAGTCATTCTAAAACATCCTGCTAAAGTCATGAAATCCTGCGTAAAGACTTTAGACCAGTAGGATCCCCAACGTTTGCCAGAAGCCATAATGGATTTTGGGTCACACTAGACCATTGACCAGTCCCTTCTCACAGTCCTCAGCCAGGCACTTCCAGTGCTGTCGGTTCTTCTGGCATCCCTCCAGCAGTGGAGAGCAGTACTCCGACATGCTAGCCAAGGTCTGCAAAAGCAACAATAAGGGTTCAGCAAGGAGGAAGGGTTTCTTCTGCTTTTATGGGCTTTGCAGACAGAAACCTAAAAGGCTAAATTACCTCATATAATTGAACACAAATGGCATCAATGAAGGACACCTGCATGCTGGGAATCTTGTCTCGTTTCTCACGATTCATCAGGTCCTGAAACAAAAGGTACCAAACATAAACTCATTTAATAAGTACAATCGACATCTTCGACACTTACAGAAGGTCTTTTTTCACATACAGAGGTTAACTGCACTTATACAGCAATTTCTAAGTCAGAGGACTCCAAAGCACTTTACACTACAGTCAGTCATGCACACATTCACATCTGATGGTGATGAGCTACACTGTAGCCACAGCTGCAAACTGACAGAAGTGAGGCTGCCGTGCACAGGCGCCACCCACGGCAAAAAGGATGAAGTGTCTTGCGCAAGGACACAACGACAGTCACTGTTGAAGCTTCGGTTCTAACCAGTGCTTCATTTGAGCCGGATCTTGCCGGAACAAGATCCGGGAACTATCTTATTTTGAAAGGACTGTTCCGGCAACTGTCTGCTAGGATCCGGCAACTCATGTGACAAACTTGTGCTATACGCAGGATTCGAATTACGGGTGAGCTAGGGAGCTCCTGGAAGCCCTCAACACACCCAGGAGAAGTGCGAAACGATCCAGGTTCTACTTATATTACATTATCTATTCAATTCAATTCAAATTCAAAGATACTTTATTAATCCCAGAGGGAAATTAGAGTTTCAGTACACACAATTCTGAGATCAGACATACCAACACATTCTCACACCCAAGGCCTCAATATATGAAGATTCGGGACGCCCCAGCGCATCAGGAGACGACGATCAGGGACAAACAGCTGACGCCGCATCCCAGAGCGTCGGTATCCGACGCCGGTGGTGAGACGGACATTAGAACTACTTGTGAACTACTTAACCTTCCCCTTACCCCAATCCTAACCTTAAGGTCACAGTTTATGGACCTTAAGATTAGAATTGGGGTGAGGGGAAGGTTAAATAGTCAAATAATACCCGTGTGACCGCACGCGTCAAACAGTGATGCCAGCGGAGCCAAGTGAACCAGCGTGTCCCTGATCGTCGTCTTCTGACGTGCTGGGGCGTCCCGAATCGTCATATATTGATGCTTGGTCACACGCATCATATTTTGACGCCTTGGGTGTGAGAATGTGTTGGACATACATACACAGGCATAGACACATGACAAGAATTGGTGACTGTATTCATTCGCAACCCGAGTCACGCTACCTTAATAGAGATCAGAGGGTTACATGAGGATTGGTTCAGGTGGAAGGAAAAAAAGGCACTTCAGAGTTACCCTCCACAGGGAGGGCAGCTTTGCTATGCAAAAAACACCTCAGACAGAAATGCTACAGACTTCAGACATCACACAACATAAGTGTCCACTAGGTGGGGAGGTGGGTTGGGACTCTCCTCACATCAGTGCATGCAGCTGCGACAAGCAGCGCACGTCACCTCCGTTTGTACAGGGGACGGAGGTATTTGGGTTAGAGAGCACAGTGACTCCTGGAAACGATTAAACGGCCTTCACCGGTCACAGTCCCGCCCAGGCTGGGATAGGGAGGCAGAGTTACCATGGCGACGGCAGCATTCCACATTTCTTCTGAGGGGGAGTAATCACTTCAGCCTCACAGGCTCAAGGGCACCAGATTCAGATAAGAACTTGTTTTGGGGCCAGACCGAGATAATTTCCTCTCTGTCTTAAAGTTCTGTTAGTCTCCAACCTAGGGCTGTAGCGAAGCCTCGACGAAGTCGACGGCTCGATTCTAAAAATTTGTCGACGTCAGATCCGGAAGTCGACGCACCGCGCCCACTTGTTGCATCCCCAGGAGTTTGTAAATAGAGGAGGAATCAGCCTGTTTTTCCTCTAGTTCGCCCTCTTCTCCGCCTTCACTAACATCTCCGCCAAATACCGAAGACCCGGAACAATGTCCGTCCACTACTAGATTATTTTCCTGTTTTGCCCCTTTGTCTCCCGGCAACGGACAACAACTTCCGGGGTCAGATGCGCTGCTTCGTGTCTACCGCAGATGTAGAAAATCACCGGGAGTGCTTCTCCCTTCATTAAGGAGCTTCTTTCAGACACGAGGAGAGCTGTTTTGGTGCTAGCAGTCTCTCCTCCGTAATGGTCTGTTTGCTGCTGGGTGTTTTTGGTTTATTTAAACTTGGTAACTTGAACTTAACGTTGGTAAAGCTACTGTTAGCATCTTCGCTAACAGCTTCTTGCGTTGGGATAAGCTGTTACGTTTTGGTTTAGAGTTCATCTTTTTTGTGGTGTAGATCTCCCTTTTATTACAGTTAGAGTGTTGTGGGTTTTCGGTTTAGTGTAAAATATCACCTGAGTTTGGTTTAACCCGTAACACCACTCGCCTCACGCACATAAGTGACCAAAACAAAGCAGCATGGAGACACTCCATCTTCTACCACCTCTCAGGCAGCAGCCTGCACTCCCAAGTTCTACACGTCACCAGAACATAACCAACCAACACAATAAACGCAGTGTTATACAAAATGGAAGGCCTGTAGTGTTTATTCTCTTACAGTAAGAATTTATCAATTTTTTTGAGGAATTTATTTGAGATTTTCTGGTTTTTGTTAATTGTGCAATAGAAAAATAATCATTAGATTAATTTTCTAAATAGTCATTAGAATAGTCGACTATTCGATAAAATAATCGTCAGAATAATCGTTTTAAAAATAATCGTTTACCCCCAGCCCTACCCCAACCCCTCCAAATCCAATAATGGCTTAAATTAATCTATTCCCAATCCGTGCTGTCCCGTCAACTCTATCCTTGATGGCATCAACCTTCTGTGCCAGAGCCTGAATCTCAGCCAAAGTTCCAAGCTTACGACTCATCTCGACAATTATATGAGTTTGTGCGTTCACCGCGCGGTGTAATCCATCCCTGAGCTCCGGGATTGCGCCAATATTCCTCGACAGCTCATTAATTTTCCGGTAAGCCAGGTAACCACTCAGGCCAAACAGCACGAAACCTGACACCAACACCACAAATATCCAGACGTCTTCAAAATCCTCTACAGAGAGTTGAGAGAGGCAGATCAGGTTCCACTGTTTCCAGGAGTCCATGATATACCCAGCTGGCTCTGTCCCAGAGGGGCAACCAGGAGCCCCTTCTTCCGTTCTCATCGTTGAAAAAATCTTGTCAATCGCGCTGAGAGACCAACTGACCAAGTCCATTTTAATAATTTCCAGTTTCCAGAAAAAATGCAGAAGCGCCGTGCACCCAAAGACAGACAAAGAGCCTTGGGATAAGATGGGGAGGAGAGGAGGAAAAAGCATCTGCACTCTCCAAGAGCTGGAAGAAGATTATTATGTGGACTCTCCAGGGATTATTTTGACCTGAGAGGTGCAGAGCTCTGATCGTTGATGCGCTCCAGACAGATGCGTCCTGAGCACGGTCAACATTATTAAAGTGCCGGCACCTCAAAAACAAAGTTAACACGCAATCGTTTGTCGGCTCATATCCTTTTATGATTTCTGTCTTTTATTTGTGCCTGATGCGTTTCTCTGTTGCGGAGCGTATCGCCTGTTTCGTCCTCCGGTGACTTCACCGCACCGGTGCGGTCTGCGCGCGGCGCACACTCCGCTGTATTTGAAGTCTGTAGATCTTTTTTTAACCGCAGTTCAAATGTAACTCATGAGGTGAAAATATGTGAAGCCTGGTAGCAGTTTTCTTTAGGATTGAGAGGAGATAATAAACAGAGACGGGACAGAAAAACTGTCAAATAAAAACAAGTTAGTTTTTGTACCTGGTGGTTGCAACAAACAGACACCATTGAAGGTAATCAGAAGTGAGGAACAGAAAATGAAATTATTCTTTCAATGTTTAGAGCAGCAGGAACTCTGAGAGGCTGCAGAAGCACCAGTGAGTTTGCGACCGCTGTGCAGGGGGAGGGAGGAGCGGGCTGAAGCAGGGGAACAGTAAAGATGGAAAAACTACCGTTGTTAAAAGAGATGTGTGTTAACTTACAAAATGTGGGAGCTAATTGTAATTACTTGTTGTCCCCCCCCAAAAAAATACGTATAGCAGGTGAGTGGTGCTTGAGGGCAAGGATGGCAGCAGATAAGGAGACCGTACAAAGTAGTACACACGTCTTTTAACCTCACTCAGGGTCTGAAAAAATCTTTACAGCATGTTCCTCACTGACAAACACCCATAAGATGCTTTAGACAATAGTGTCTTATATATTGTGCAGACTGATCCAAGATACTTACAATCGGCTCAATGTTTAGCTCCCGTCTCTCCTTGTCTCCCTGCTCAAAGAACTCTGTGGCCACCAGCTCTGCAATCTGCATCAGGAAGAAGAAGCCCATGAGTCTACTTTGGACCTTAAAGCAGGTCAAAGCAGATGTGATGATGTCTCATGTGAGGTCTCTGGTGTTGGGCTGGAAAACCCAACCCCTCATCTGCTGGTTCAGTCAGACTTAAAGGCTGACAAGTTCCTGCTGGAGTCAAAGTGATGAAACATCTGACAAAATTATCTAACAGAGGACAGAAAGAAATGGTTCAAAAACAAGAAATTGCCTAAATTGTTTCCACTACAAGACCTTCAGGGTAGATTTACAGGAACCTCCCGACATGCGCGTCTCCACCCGACCGGGCCCTTTTCAGGAACCTTCCGGGTACCTGCTCTGGAGGAGGTGCTCCGAACGGCCCGGTGGAGTAGCTGAATGGAACCTCCGGTTAACTCACGCTGATTGTTTGTAACTCAGTAGGAAATGACATCAGCAGACGCCCAAAACAGCCGGCAGCAGTAACATTAGAGTAGCTGGTGAGGCAGAATGGAAGCTAAATAATAAATAAGCACCGATCACATTTCAAATCTAACTCCCGACACCGGAAAACTCTGGAATTCCCTCACAAACTTCATTAACGAGGTGTGACTCACATACCTCAGAGCTGCTCTTGTCCTCTGAATGGATTACATTATGACATACTTCTATAAAATAAATGCTTTTATTATCATTAATGTTACTTTGGGCACTTTTTGGGGCTGATCAGTGACATCACTCACTGCCAAAGCAGTGGAGATGCGCTGACATCTGTGCAAGTTCTGAAAGGGCTGGATTTGAATGGAGACACAACAGCTGAGAGGACTGGGATGTCCCATCTCCTGGTCAAGTTCCCCATCCCAGGAGCTACCCTGGAGTTCTGCTAATGGAAACTGTAGCGTGATGAATTGTCCATTTCTGACCTGAAAGGCCCTGCTCTGTCTTGCTCTGCTCAAAGCAAAACCAGAAGTTTCTGACACAAACCTAATCTGCATGAGATATTGCTCAAGGTCTCATGCTTTGCTTCTAAACTGTTTCTTCCTTTCCAGCTCAAGAGAAGAATGAAGACAAAGGACTCTTTCTTTTAATAAATCAGAAGAACTCTATTTTTAATAAAGCTAATCAAACAAAGTGTTAGTCCAACAATAAAATGTGAACCAATCTGTGAAATGACAATGTCATATCAGTAGTAATATAACTTTAAATATTTGCACTAGACATTCTCATCCATGTATTGTTAAGAATCACATGACACATTTCCTTTTTCTGATCGAATCAGAATCTTCCAGATCTGACGCGAGGCGTGGTTTTGTTGGTGCTTGGTAAATGTCCTTTTTTGATTTGACCGTAAATCAAAACATCCAAATTATAAAACTATGCCCACGTCATCTTAACTTCAGTTCAAAGCGTTCTAGAGAAGTTGTCGGAGTGGCCGATCCGTAACTTTCCTCATCAGCCGAAAGAACCCAACGTCAAGCTGGATTAAATATGTTGCTGTTCCACCTGCTGCAATGGTTCCTTTCAGAATAAAAACCAAATAATCACGACCCCTTTTTGGGTTTCGCTAGATGCCAATAAAACTGTCATGACCCGGAAGTATCTCAAGACTGGTTTATAAAACTATAAGAACCACCATTACACAGTTTAGAAAACTACAAGTACCACCATCACACAGTTTATAAAACTACAGGTACCACCATCACACAGTTTATAAAACTACAAGGACCCACCATCACACAGTTTATAAAACTACAAGGACCCACCATCACACAGTTTATAAAACTACATGGACCACCATCACAGTTTATAAAACTACAAGAACCACCATCACAGTTTATAAAACTGCATGGACCACCATCACACAGTTTATAAAACTACAGGTACCACCATCACACAGTTTATAAAACTACAAGGACCCACCATCACACAGTTTATAAAACTACAAGGACCCACCATCACACAGTTTATAAAACTACATGGACCACCATCACAGTTTATAAAACTACAAGAACCACCATCACAGTTTATAAAACTGCATGGACCACCATCACACACTTTATAAAACTACAAGTACCACCATCACCTTTTATAAAACTACAAGAACCATCATCACAGTTTATAAAACTACAAGGACCCACCATCACACAGTTTATAAAACTACAAGTACCACCATCACACATTTTATAAAACTACATGGACCACATCACACAGTTTATAAAACTACAAGTACCACCATCACACAGTTTATAAAACTACAAGTACCCACCATCACAGTTTATAAAACTACAAGAACCACCATCACAGTTTGTAAAACTACAAGGTCCCACCATCACACAGCTTATAAAACTATAAGGACCCACCACTACGCAGTTTATAAAACTACAAGGACCCACCATCATACATTTAAAAAAACTACAAGGACCACATCACACAGTTTATAAAACTACAAGTACCACCATCACCTTTTATAAAACTACAAGAACCACTATCACAGTTTATAAAACTACATGGACCACCATCACACAGTTTATAAAACTACAAGTACCACCATCACACAGTTTATAAAACTACATGGACCACATGACACAGTTTATAAAACTACAAGTACCACCATCACACAGTTTATAAAACTACATGGACCACATCACACAGTTTATAAAACTACAAGGACCACCATCACCGTTTATAAAACTACAAGGACCACCATCACACAGTTTATAAAACTACATGGACCACCATCACACAGTTTATAAAACTACATGGACCACCATCACACAGTTTATAAAACTACAAGTACCACCATCCCCTTTTATAAAACTACAAGAACCACTATCACAGTTTATAAAACTACAAGGACCCACCATCACACAGTTTATAAAACTACATGGACCACCATCACACAGTTTATAAAACTACAAGTACCACCATCACACAGTTTATAAAACTACATGGACCACATCACACAGTTTATAAAACTACAAGGACCACCATCACACAGTTTATAAAACTACATGGACCACATCACACAGTTTATAAAACTACAAGGACCACCATCACAGTTTATAAAACTACAAGCACCACCATCACACAGTTTATAAAACTACATGGACCACATCACACAGTTTATAAAACTACATGGACCACATCACACAGTTTATAAAACTACAAGGACCACCATCACAGTTTATAAAACTACAAGCACCACCATCACACAGTTTATAAAACTACATGGACCACATCACACAGTTTATAAAACTACATGGACCACATCACACAGTTTATAAAACTACATGGACCCACCATCACACAGTTTATAAAACTACATGGACCACCATCACACAGTTTATAAAACTACAAGGACCACCATCACACAGTTTATAAAACTACATGGACCCACCATCACACAGGCCGTGTTCGAGTTGAGCTGCACCTCGCCTGGAAAACAGACGAGAGTAGACGGAAGCAGCAGGGGGAGTGGATGAAAGCCGGAGTTTAAGTCTGACGGATTTCCCTGCATGTGTAGCTCGCGGGTGACTATGATGAAGATATCGCGTTAGCGTTCACACTTGTTTATTTTTCAATTTTAATCCTGGTGCCTGTTAGCAGCTGAAACATCCTCACGTGCTTGTGGATATCATATATTGTACATGAAGACATGACTGTAATAATAAGTAAAGGTTATCAGCTGTAGCTTCAGTGTGCTCATAGGAAACGTGACAATAGAACACAAAACACATTTCTCTTTATGGCCTATATAGTTGTCATCATCAACGTTACATGATTTACAGAATACATGTGACCAACTAACATTTCATGTTCTACCACCGGATGTTTGGATCAAAATGTGAACCAATCAGATTTTAGATCAAAATGATTGATGACATATTGGGAGGTTGGGAGGGCTGGGACCACACCTGAGATGGTGCCGGTGGTGAAATAAACAGCAGGAAGTGTTATCTGAGTGTTTACATGGCAGAGCTGGTGTTGAACCATTCTATTATACTATAATCAGCTCTTCTGCAGAAAGAAGACCTTTCTGTTTGACCCTCACACACTTTCTGTGTGAGGGGGCAATGCCCCCTCCTGCCCCCACTGTAGAGCTGGCCTTGAAGCGCACACTTACCTTAAACCATGTCACCATGACTGTTTGTGTTTGGTATTACCAGCATTCATTACTTCTGTGTTGGGTAACTAAACTAGTCAAGTCTATTTTCAATTCAATTCAAGGTTATTTATATAGCGCCAAATCACGACAAGCGACGTCTCAAGGCACTTCACATAATAAACATTCCAATTCAGGCCAGTTCATTAAGCCAATCAGAAATAATGTTTCCTATATAAGGAACCCAGCAAATTGCATCGAGTCTTTACAGCAAACTGACTTTACAGCAATCCTCACACTAAGCAAGCATTTAGCGACAGTGGAGAGGAAAACTCCCTTTTAACAGGAAGAAGGGTTAGCAGGAAGGGAAGGGAAGGGAGGAGGGAATGGGTCTGAGGAAGGGAAAGCAGACACACACACACACACACACACACCAAGCAATGTGTCCATGGTTACACTGATTGCTTAGCAGAAACAACAGAAAATAATTTGTGGCTGAGACTGATGAGGCGGTTTGTGCCAGCATGTGTGTGTGTGTGTGTGTGTGTGTGTTTGTTTGTGGGGTGTTGATGAGAAATAATTCATGTGACTGTTTACTGCCTTGAATGTTTCTCTTAAAGGTCCCTTCCGAGAACAGGCCTCGGCTGTTTTATTAATGAGCACTCTATTACAAACACACAAAGGTGTGTGTGTGCGCGTGTGTGTGTGTGTGCGTGCGTGTGTGTGTGTGTGAAGCTGCTCTGCGTCTAATCAGGTGCAGCTCAACGAAGGTCACTGGAGACGAGACCCAGCGGGGACAGAGCTCTGCACGAGGAACCTTCAGGAGCAAACGGGATGAAGGAGACAAAAACAGGAAGAGCAAACACCTCAGAGGGAGATCCTTACTTCAGACGTGGTCGACACGTCTCAACGTTAGGGTTCACAGAAACGTTCAGTAGGATTTCAGTTCGTTCACTTCTGATTAAAGAGCAAGTCACCCCTTACAAGAAGTGAACTCCACTCCCACTTCATGTTTGAAAAATGCAACAAATGCTGTTGCCTAGCAGACCGAGAGGGTGGAGCCACTAACCAATACACACACTCACGACATTGTGACATCATAATGTACCAGTTTACATCATAGCATACCTCTTAGCCAATAGCGGTGGCAGATTTAAATTCAAATGCAGTGAAGAGTTTTTACCTGACAACGGCACAACACTGACCGTTTCAGGCAGAAAATTTAAATTTTAACTAAAATGCACTAAAGTGCAAAACTATTGACGACACGTGTCTGCAGCACGATTAGACACACATTTATATAGTTTATCAGAAAAAAAAAGTTGATTTGGGGGTGACTTGCTCTTTAACATCGAGCGGCTGCTGCATAACAACCCAACAAACCGTAAAGTCGTGTAAAAGGTCAGAGAGCGGCGTTCGAGTCGGTGACTGGGCTTGTGTCTGTGCTAACGCTGGTTTTTGGGTCACCCAGAGGACCTTTTTTATTTGTTTCCTTTAGAAACAACAGACGTGTTTGAGCAGCTGGTGAGTTGTCTCGGTCTGAACCGCCACCGCATCATTTAAACCTCTTCATGGCTTTTCAGCGCCGACTGAAACTCCTGTTAGTTTCTCATATCCGGAATATTTCTCCTGATGTTTTCACCACTTTTGGTTTGTTTTGTTTCACGTGAATGTTCACACTACATGCTCACCGGTCACCTGTGCAAATGCTTGTTAGCGTTAGCGTTAGCATCCAATCGGCACATAACAGCATGTTCGTCACGAGCAGTGCTCTTCTAATGTAGGTTCATGTAATAATTGAGCCAGGCATTTGCACGTGCCACCTTCTTCCTCAGCGATTGGAGGTACGTGTGTGTGTGTGTCATCATTGTACTTTAGGGAAGCCTAAATGCTGCCCTACATGCAACTTAAACGATGCAGGTGTGTTTTTTAAGCTCCTCTCCTCCTACTCCATGACCACCACTGTGCTTTTCTTGTTTGGTGGTGCCTCGGCCCTCCACGTGGCCGATCCACGGACCACATGCGTGAGAGAGACCCATGCTAATCATGGATCAGTGACGATCAATTACACCCCCCAGTTCTAGATGATAGACAGGCAGCAGCAGAAGTTCAAATAACCACTGGTTCTAACCAAGGTCTGCAGAACAGCATCTCTGAAACCCAACAGCTGCTCCAGATGGACTCTAGCAACAGAAGATCACACCAGGTGTCTCTCCTGTCTGCTAAGAACAGGAATCTGAAGCTACGTCTCACGCAGGATAACCAGATCCAAATGGACCAGAACTTCTGAGGAACATTTTCAACGCCTTGTTGGATCTATGACACCAAGACCTGAGGTGGTTCTGAAGGTAAAAGGGGGTCTAAGCTAGCAGCAGAAAGGTGATATTGAGACTACACACGACAGACAAAAGGATGCAAACAGACAGAAAGAGTAAAACTGATGTTCTTACCCTCTTTTGCACCGGCCAGGGCTTAGTGATGGCTGAGATGTCACATGCAGTCATCAGCATTGACCTGGAGGTGGGCGGGGAGGAAAATCAATGTTACTCACAGAATCAACCAGCGTTTGTTTACGATTTGTGCTGCTGAAGGCTAACCGGAAGAAAATCAACAGCGGAGACGAACACACTTGAATGGAGAGTTTCGTTTTCTAACAATCCAGTTTACTAGGATAAAGGCTCCCAGCTTGTTGCCTTAGATCGGCCTAGATCCATTTAGATGTGCATGTAAACGCGCCGACTGTCTTTAGAGGATGGGATCAGAGTGTGTAGCTTCAGGCTTACCTCAGTAAGTCTCTGTGATGGTCATCCTCCCAAACAAACTGGTTGTTCTTGGTGAGTTCAAAGAACTCCTCTCTTCTCCTGACAACACACACACACACACACACACAATCAGGCCACAGGTGTGTATCCCCTAAATCAGTGTTTCTCAGTTATTTTCTGTGATCCCCCTAGGGTACATATAGTGTTTTGACACACCCACAGAAAATGTGGGGGGAGGGGAGCGTGCAGATCCATAACATCCCTCTGAGTTGACCAGAGCGCTCATAACACACCACAAACGGTAGGATTATCTGATGTGATAAAAGCACACAAGCAAAGTTTTTGTCCAGATGGGATGTCTGATTTTGTACAGATTAGATCATATTTATGCTGTTAAGTCTTATTAGGGATGGGTACCTTTGACATTTGAATCGATTCGGTACTAATTCCCGGTACCTAGGAATCGATACCGGTACTTAACGGTACCAATTTTTGATACTTTTGAGTGTTTAATATTTTAATTCTCTTTTATAATTAAATATATATTTTTCTCAATATATAACCATATTTGATAAATATCACGATAAACAACATACAACTGTTTGTATTTTAACATCGTCCTTGTAGTTTCATAAGCTGATAATTAAACTGAAGCAAACATCTTTACTGTGAACTAAATTTACTGTGTATCTTCATTCCTTTTGCCGTCCTTTTTCTTTGATTTTTCCTACTGGGAAGTTAGAATTTCCGAGGAGAAAGCGAACGCACCATTAGCTGATAGCAATGGAAGCTAACATATCAAGATAAAGTTATCTTAAACAGTTTATTTAGCTGCTGGAGCAGATTAAAACGATGATGCCTCACACTTAGATCGTTGTCGCTGGTTTCATCTTCACCCAATCACCCGTCGCATTTAGTAAAGTGAAGCCAAACTTTAGAGCGCGTTCATGTTCTTCTAGTCCAGACCTGGGCATTTTACGGCCCGCGGGCCACATGCGGCCCTTTGGTTGACTTTGACCGGCCCGCATAAGGTTAATTGGAAATTACAAAATAAATGTATTTTCTCATTTTACCTCATGCATGGGCTAAGGCTGCATTGCTTTTATTTTGAAGTTGTTTTTTACGTGCACAATGACGCAATACGTATAGCAACAAGTGCCCGCGGTTGACATGGTGATTGTAGCCCGAGAAATGTCCGCTCATGCAAAAAAAAAAAAAAAAAAGATGCCGAATGCAGGATTTTCAACAAAAATTGGACTGCTAAGTATTTTTTTTACTGAAGTCGGAGGTAAAGCCGTGTGTTTGGTTTGCGGGGAGGAGCTTGCCGTGTTTAAGGACTACAATTTGAGTCGGCATTACGACAAGAAACACTCGGAAAAATATAAGAACTTGTCTGATGCTGAGAGGGCACGGACATCCGAAGCTTTGCTAGCAAAGTTGCAAAAGCAGCAAGGCTGTTTTACTAAGCTTCACACATCCAGGGATGCAGCAACCAGGACCAGCTTTGTGATATCCCACAAAATAGCTAAAAACAGCAAGCCGTTTTCGGAGGGAGAGTTTGTCAAAGAGTGCATGGTGGACTCTGCCGCACTAATATGCCCTGAAAGAAAGGCGCATTTGAGCAAATCCCGCTGTCCAGGCGAACCGTGACCAGGAGGATCGAGGACATTGCGGGGAACCTGGAGCTTCAGCTGCAACGTGAAGTGGCAAGTTTTGACTTTTTCTCATTAGACGAGAGCTGTGATGTCCGCGACACAGCCCAGCTGCTCGTATTTGTCCGGGGATAACGGAGCTCACAGAGGAGCGGGCAGCAATGCGGTCGATGAAAGGGACAACGACAGGGAGTGATCTTTTTACAGAGGTAAATGCGTGCATGAACACTCTGGATTGAAAGGGGAGAGACTGTCAGGTGTCACAACAGACGGTTGTCCAAATCTTACGGGGAAAAATGTCAGACTTTAGAAACGCATGCAAGATAAAGTGACAGAAATCGATGCAGATCAAAAATAGGTGTTTTTGCATTGAATTATACACCAACATGTGTTGTGCAAGTCAGTGCTAAAAATCATCCATGTTACTGATGTTGTTACTAAAATAATAAACTTCATCAGGGCACGGGCGATGAATCACAGACAGTTTGTGGCTCTTTTGGAGGACTCCACACAGCTGTCGGATGGCTCCGCCTGGGGAAAGTGCTGAAGAGGGTTTGGGACTCGAAAGCAGAGATTCAGGATCTCTGCTGGATTTCTACTCTTCTCTTAAGGAGGAGAACTTTCCAAACCTGAGGAGACATGCTCAGAAGATGTTGGGTTCTCTTCAGCTCTACCTACATTTGTGAACAAACATTTTCAATGATGAAGTTTACAAAATCCAGGTATAGATCCTCTCTCACTGATGATCATTTGTCAGCTGTGCTTCGCATCTCCACCTCAGACATTCAACCTGACTTTGATGCACTCGTTAAAGCCCAGCAGAGACTAGATTTCTCTCACTGAATAAGAAAAAAATCACTTAAAAACACAAAATAAGGTGTTTGGACCACAAATGTAGGCAACTAGCAGTGAACTGGGACACTTTGTTTGAAACCTCTTTCTCAAGATCACAGTTCAGTGATTTTATTTTACAGACGATACTGTGTGTCTGTAGAATGCTAAGAACCTCTTTCCAACAATATTTGAAACTCAAAATGTGTTTTGGAGTGAATGTGACTGAAACTGTTAACTAATATAAGTCACAAATGTTTAACAAAAAACAAATGCGCACTTTGTTTACCATTGCCTTGGGAAATTTGAATAAATCACATTTTTGTAAGCCAACCTCACTTTTTCCTTTTTGCTCATTTATAACATTTAGTCTACTCTTACCAGCTTGAAAAAACAATGGTATTTACTGCTTTTTATAAAGAAATACCATTAATATTATGCATAATTGACTTCAGCCTTTTGGCCTGGCCCTCCACTATATTTTCTATTTCTCATGTGGCCCCAAGGAAAAAATAATTGCCCACCCCTGTTCTAGTCGGAAATTCGGAGTTCCGAGGAGAAAGCGAACGCACCATTAGCGGAACGGAAGCTAACATATCAAGCTAACGTTTTCTTAAACATTTTATTTACCTACCGGAGCAGATTAAGATGAGGATGTCTCACTTAGATCGTTGTCGCTGGTTTCATCATCACCCAGTTACCCATCACATTTAGTGAAGTGGACCCAAGCTTTAGCGTGCGTTCTTTCTACCATGCTGCTCTGTTTACAACTGGCTCGCAGCGACCGACGAATTAACGCTCTTGCGCATGCGCAGCTGTCTAGGCAAGTTCTCGTTATGAAGGACGGGTACCGAAACGAGGCACCGTTTCAAATGACGTGAATTGGTGCTCAGTCGGTACTATGGAATTCGGTCGGTACCTTAAAATGTACCGAATTCGGTACCCAACGCTACTTACAATAAAGCTTCTTGGGACTTTTAAATATGTAGGAGCTTGTGCTTCATCTGAACACCCCACCCTCCAACTGCTTGAACTTTGAAACCCACTTCATGTAGAGCGCGAGGTCAGTGGCCAGAATGGCCCTCTCAATCATCTTCAGGGTGACCTTGTATTCGTCCAGAGAGAGGCCGCTGAGGATCTGGTTTCCCTGCAGACAGAAATCTGCGTGAGTGCAAGAACAGAACCGTGATGACAACGTAGAGGAGCAGATTTAACGCTCTGATAGGCACACTGCATCAGTCAACGGGGCGTTGCCACGACGACAGTACACAAAGAAACACATGCCGCCAGTGTTTACACATCAGTGTGTTGATGCATTATTCCATCCTCCCTCCGTTAAGAGTTCTGTCGTGCTTGCATGTGACGAGGTATGTGGGCACGAGTGCTGCTGTGGAGAGATGGGAGTTTGTTTTCAGGCCATGAGGATCAGAGCAGGCTGTGAGCCTAGTTTTATTGAGCCATCAGCATCCAGAGGCAGACTGCAGCTGGAAACGAGCAGAGAGGCGTAACAAATCTGAAGTGTGGATGAAGGATGTCACTATCTGTGCTGAATCTATCCATGGTGGCCGTGAGCTTTCAGCTTGATGGAGGTCTGATAGGGCTAAAGGGTGAAGTTCCACAAAATTATCAGGTCACAACTGGTTTGGTTAAGGTCAAAGTTCACCTGTCTACAATAAGAAAGAGTGAGAGAATGTGTCATTCAAAATCTAAAGATAACGGTGACAAACCAGAGGAAAACATGTTTTAAATGTTTTAAATTCATGTTTTTTTTTCTACAGCCATTTCCAGCAATGGATTAATAAAGAATCTATTCGTGTAAACATCTGGATGAGCAGGACTTAGTTAAGAGGTCTTGTGTTTGTCATGGTGGAGGAAGAGATGGAGCCGAACCTGCAGAGAGCTCACGCAGCAGAGGTAACCAATCAGAGACGTGTTACAGCACCCCTACTACACGCAGGCTTGCTGTGCTTTAGTAGCCCAGCTCTCATCTGTCTGCTTTTATTTGGTGAAAATGACTCCATGAGCTGTAAAATGGATTTTGCAGCCCTTTTTTCTTAGACCGTTAAATCGAACTGTTCTCCAGAGCCCGATAAAAGGTTCAGTAGAGCTCAGGATTTGGCAGCAATTATCAGTGAAACAGCAAACCTCCAGGTTCTGTTCTCACATGATCCACCACATCCAGTCTGGGATCGAACACGCTCTGCATGGGCTGCATGTTGCTTATGGACCAGGTCCAACAGCTGCATCCGTCCACTGACTCGTTCATTCATGGATGCTTTAGTTTTACATGCCTCTCACACGGACTCCAGAACCGACCCATTACATCAGTACATGAGGGAGTATTATTTCAGTCGTACTTTCTACTGATCACGCCTTGATGTAACATTCTCTCATGACCCCGTGTGGTCCATGCTGCAGCTGTTGGACAGATGGACTCACGGTGGACTTATGTGTCTTACACGTCTGGATGCTTAATGACCTTTAACCCTGTGTGTGTGTGTGTGTGTGTGTGTGTGTGTGTGTGTGTGTGTGTGTGTTAGGGATGCAACGATACCACTTTTTTCCAAACCGATACAATACCGATACTTGGATCTGAGTACTCACCGATTCCGATTACCAATACCGATACTTCTACCACACAAAAAATGCAATAATTTGGAACACAGATTTTATTTTCTTCTCTGCTTTCAACAGGAAAAGATTGTGAGGTAGATAAAAAGTAAAATATATGAATGGAAATCATCACAAAACTAAAATATTAGGTGAACAGAAATGACAAGTTACAGTGAAGCCACTTTCAAGCAACTGCATTGGTATCGGTTAACTTTTACTGATACCGATACTGGTATTGGTATCGGTGCATCCCTAGTGTGTGTGTGTGTGTGTGTGTGTGTACATACAGGGCTGTTGAGGATCATAAGGCACTGGTCAAAGTGATGATGCTCCATAGTGGAGTGGCAGTAGAGCTGAGCCAGAGGGTGATCACTCCTGGAAAACACACATATAACGAAGACACTGTCAGCATAAGGCTGTACAATCACCCAAATGGAGGTGTGTGTGTGTGTGTGGGGGGGGGGGGGGTCTTTTGGCTGCACCTCTGAATGTAAGAGTTGTTGACTCCTCTGTGGTCCAGGTCATGACAGAGAGTTGCAATCATCAGAGCCAAGATCTCCACATCGTTCAGGTTGTTCTGTCCAATGAGAAGTGGATGAATTATGAGGAAAAAGGAGGAAAAGAAAGATGAAACTAGACTGAAAGTTTAAGTATGTTTAGTGACAAAATGAGATTGTTGAGAGCATATTAAATGTAATGGATCACCAAGAGTGAGCGGCTCCGCCCGTCCATGCAGACGTTTACCTGGAAGCGTCCTGACTTCAGCAGTGCAAACATGCACTGGGCTGTGTTGAGCGCATGTCTCCAGTTGTGATAGGCCACGTTCTTTCTGTAGTTTTTCTTCACACTCAAAACCCACTGGCACAAACTCTGTTACAGAGAAGAGACACAGCTAAAGGGTAAAGAGGGTCTAACCATAAGAAAACTTTTATTAATGTCTGTGTGTGACAGCTGGCAAAAAGCACACAAAAGCTGCTAATAAAACGTAAAACTGACCATATTTTATTAGACAGCTTTCACCAAAAGTGAACTCTTTCCCAGAAACAATGTTGTTCAAATCTGTCTTCAAAAATTCCTCAGAGTTATTCCTCTGTTAAAAGATGTTTGTCAAACACAAAGTCGTGAAAAAGTGTATTCAGCTGTGATTTTAGATCGTTCTGTTAGACGTTTCTATGGTTCAAAAGTAGTGAGTGTTAAAACTAAAGCCTCAGCACGGTGCCATAAATCAGCTTCCTGCTGCAGCGCACGCTCACCATGAAGAACTAAATCATCTCATTCACCAGAAGAACTCCAAACTATTATGCAGCTAATCAAATCGTGGCTCGTTTTCTCCATAGGGATCTTAATAACGGCCTCTAAGAATAGAACAAGCGGCCGTGCAACATTAAAAATGCTGAAATGCTAATTAAATAATAAGATGTTGCATGGAGCAGCTCCCAGGGGGGGGGGGGGGGGGGGGGGGGGGGGGCTGGCATGTCAGCTGGTAGTGTGAATGTCAAACTGACAGCTGCCCTGCTGGAAGGCTCGTTCTCGCCAATCAAAACCTGTTCTGTTCTCTCCACAGGCCCGGTGCAGGTCAGCCACCAGCACACAAGGAGCTCTTCATGAGGAGGAAACCCTCTGGTGTTGGGCCACAGTGGCGCCGTGGGGCAGCCTGAGTCTGACAGACAGCAGTAGCAGAGGGAGAGTGATTTTTGAAGGGAAAGCCATGTGTGTGTGTGTGTGTGTGGGGGGGGGGGGGTATGCGGGGCTTTTTTAATTTGTTAAGCACTTTGAGTTACATGTAGGATTAAGTGCTATATAAAGTTGATTGATTGATAACTCCCTCCTATCCACCAGGAAAGGTAAATGGTAAATGGCCTGTATTTGATATAGCGCCTGCTAGAGTCCTGGAACCCCTCAAGGCGCTTTACAACACAATCAGTCATTCACCCATTCACACACTGGTGGGGATGAGCTACGATGTAGCCACAGCTGCCCTGGGGCGCACTGACAGAGGCGAGGCTGCCGAGCACTGGCGCCACCGGTCCCTCCGACCACCACCAGCAGGCAATGTGGGTTAAGTGTCTTGCCCAAGGACACAACGACAGCGACAGACTGAGCGGGGCTCGAACCTGCAACCTTCCGATTGCGGGGTGAGCCCTTAACTCCTGTGCCCCCGTCGCCCCTCTCACCAGGGGGACCAGCGTTTGGCAGCTGAGGATCAGGACCACCACTTGACACCCAGTTCTTTACCTGCTGTAGGACAGTCGTCTCGTGTAGCTCGTCTGGGTCACGCCCAGAGTACCTCGTTGGTAAATGCCAGGCCATACAAGCTGTTCGCTCACTAATTCAGTATTTAAACAAGGTGTGATTGTAGAAACAGAGCTATAGAAGGCATCTAGATGCATTTCACTCCAACACACGAGGGAGGGAGGGGGTTCCTCTGATCACTTTTAGGGGTTCAAAGTGTAAACAAACATATTAGGTGTGTAAGCATTCTATTTTTCTTGAGTGTGTTTGCACATGTAAACTGACTTCTGATTAATAGAGATTAAAAATGAGTGACATTTAATCCTGATTCACTCACATTAATCCAGTGATTAATAAGACCAAGAGAACAACAGTCCAGTGTTATCCAAGAGCTTTTAATCATTAGTATTTATGAAAGCAGCTGGGTGCAGACCTAACAGGAGCAGACAGTTGAATTCATCTAACACATTTTACTAAAGGTTGTGTTTAAAGACCCGTTTCTGTTTAGCGTGAATGACCAGTTTCCTAAGGAAATCCTGGATCGGCGCCGAGTCCTCTTCCCGCTGTGCAAAAAGTTTATCCAGGATGGGAAGAGGGCTGTCATCTCGGTGGATAAGCTTTATGTGGACAGCAAACTACAAGGAGCGAGGAGTGACAGACTGGCTGTATTAGCCCAACATCAGGTCAGACATTTATTATTCTTTTCAGGATTCACTGGGTTTGAGCACGTAAGGATTAAATAGCTGTTAGATCCGTGTTCTAGATGATGAGATCACCTGTTCTTAACCACCTCACACCCCATCACCTTTTCTTTTTAGTTCTTTCTTCTTCTTTAACCTTTATAATTCTGTCCTTTCCTCTTTTTATCTGTTTCTGGACCATTATTTATTTTTCTGTTATTTATTAACATATTATTTTATTCATTTAAGTACTTATTCCATCTTATTCACATGAAGGCATCATAATCTAGCTCCACACACACATCTATGGGTGCACTAAAGTTTATCTCATGGAACGTACATGGAGCTGGCTCCAGAGAGAAAAAATTAAAGATTTTTGATCAGCTAAAGAGAGTGCAAGCAGACGTAATATTATTACAAGAGACTCATAGATCTGCCACATCTGCAGATGAAATTAAAACACCTGAGTTTCCCAGCATGTTCTCTGCCTGCTATAACTCTAGGCAAAGAGGTGTAGCTATTTTAATACACAAAAACATCAATTTCACAGTATTGAACTCAATTTCAGATCCAGATGGTAGATTTATAATGTTAAAAATATCTGTACAGAATCAAAGCTTATCTATCGTCAGCATATACTGTCCAAATATTGATGACCCTTCATTCTTTCATCATTTTTTCTCTGTACTCTCCGAACACATGAACTGTCCACTTTTACTTGGAGGCAATTTTAATTTTTGGATGGACACTTTAACAGACAGGCTCAGTACCGATGGGACTCAGCACAATTGGCAATCCACTAACATAGTTAAACAGTACATGAGTGATTATGGGCTTTGTGATGCATGGCGATCTCTTCATCCTAACCATAGAGAGTATACTTTTTTTTCACATGTCCATCACTCTCATTCACGTTTGGATTATTTTATAGTCAGCAGCTCATTGTTGGCTGACGTTTCAGACAATGAGATACACCCGATAGTTGTTAGCAACCATGCTCCGGTTTCTTTAACTCTGGTAAATAAGAAGATAATCCCACCAAGCAAGTAGGTTTAATACATCACCGCTTAAAGACGAAGGTTCATGAAAATCTTTATAAGGAGTGGGCTTTATATTTAGAACATAATGACCTGCCTGGAACATCAGCATCTGTTCTCTGGGAGGCAGGAAAGGCAATGATGAGAGGTAAAATAATCTCTTTCTCATCACATAAGAAAAAAACAGAAAACAAACGTATTCAGGAGGTAGAGGAAATCATTAAGTCTTTAGAGGCATCCACAGAAGAGTTAATGAGCAAATTATGTAAAGCTAAATTAGAACTTCATGGGATTATTGAAAAAAAGACACAATTTTTAGCACAAAGACTACGAATAGAAAACTTTGAACATAGTAATGAATCGGGTAAATTTTTAGCTAACCAGTTAAAAATAAAGAGAAAACTACCATATCTGCTGTTAAAGACTCAACCGGTAATATAGTTTATGACCCTGAAAGAATAAACAACACTTTCAGAGACTTTTACCAAACATTTTACCACAGATAAACCCATCAGATAACGAGATCGATGAGTACCTTGACAGGATAACACTTCCTAAATGATCAGACAGCCAAGTTACAGTCCTGGACTCGCCACTAACATCAGCTGAGCTCCAGGAAGCCCTTAAATCCATGCCTAATAGGAAGGCTCCAGGTCCAGACAGGTTTACAGCAGAGTTATTCAAAGAATTCTGGATCATTCTGGCTCAAACATGAATTCAGCCAGTATTGGTCTCTTGTTAAAACCAGGCAAAGACCCTGCATTTCCTACCAGCTTTCACCCAATTTCTATTATTAATGTTGATCTCTAAATAATTTGTAAAGCCCTGGCAAAAAGATTAGAGAAGGTAACCCCTTTCATAATACACCCTGACCAAACTGGTTTCATTAAGGGTAGACAGTCATCCACGAACTCATGTAGATTACGTAATTTGATAGATTTCTCTTACAGTAGAAACATAGAAACTAATATATTATCTCTAGATGCAGAAAAGGCTTTTGATAGAGTTAACTGCAAGTTCTTATTTGCAACTTTACATAAATTTGGTTTTGGGAACTTCTTCATAAACATGCTACAAACATTATACAGTTCACCAACTGCACGTGTCAGGACAAACGACCAAATATCAGCTAGCTTCTGTCTTCAGAGGGGGACCAGGCAGGGATGCCCACTCTCCCCCTCACTGTTTTCTATCTTTATCGAACCACTAGCAGCAGCAATTAGGCAAACAACAGGTATTAAAGGCATTAAATGTAAGAAAATAGAACATAAGATCAGTCTTTATGCAGATGATGTTTTTTTACTCTCAGAATTTCTCAATCCTCTCTTTCCCAAGCAATAGAACTGATAAACTCTTTTTCAAGAGTTTCAGATTACTCTATACACTGGTTAAAATCCACAGTTCTACCAATTAATTTCTCATTTGTCAATTTGCACAATTGGAGTAAAGGAATATCACATACCTGGGAATCTATGTCTCTCCCAAGTTGGTAGGTCTAACCAAACTAAACTACATCCCACTTTTAAAGAAAGTGGAAGATGATCTTGCAAGATGGAAATCCTTACAACAATCATTATAACAATCAGCACCTCTCTGACAGCATGGTGGGAGTGTCTAAAAATGACAGAGTCTTCACTAATACCATGCAGACACACACACCTATCTGGAATAATCCTGATATTTTGCAAAATAACAAAATGATGAACCTTCCGGACTGGAAAAATAAAGGAATCCAATACCTGGAACACATATAAGATGGATTGGACTTCATCCCATTTAATAGAATAGTCTCCCAATTTGGAAAAGAGTTCGGGTCCTGACATGTATGCTGCCGGGAAGAAGGCGGGAACATGCGGCAGTGCCTGGCCCGGGCTCAGGGGCCTCAGGTAGACCTTGGCTCCTCTGCTGTTCCATCACAGGGGAGGGGGGATGTCCAGGAGGGGGAGGACCCAACCTTACCTGGATGTCCTATGTCTTATATATTCTGGAAGTTGTGCAAATGCAGGGATAGGAGTAGATATTCTTCTGGGGTGGGGCTGGGTTGGTGCCCTCCGACTCCGTGAGGCTCTATGATGCTGCTGCTTTGGGCCCTGGCAAGATGGGCTGGGGTCTCCATGCCCTGGGTGGCATTTTGGCAACAGAGGTGCCTATTGGGGCCAGTGGGGGAGCTGGCTCCCTTGAGGGCTTAGTCCAACCAGCCATTCCTCTCGATCCCCACACACTTTTCTCCTCCTGCTCCCTCACATCACCACACAAACATGCACATAGGACCTTGGGGTGTGGACAAGTCAGGGCATGCGGGTATGGACCCCATTTCCGCATTCCTGTGGCAACCTGCCCCCCAATTTTATTTGCACCCTAAACACTTCCACCAACGACATTCCACACAAACACACACTTAGGGCCTTGGGAGTGAGCACATTCAACGGCATTTGGCAGGGGGATTTTTCAGCCCCATCCCGAGTGCCGGTGCCTAGGGCTGCAACAAACGATTATTTGGATAATCGATTAATCGGATGGGGTCTCGACACGATTAATCGATTAATCGGATTACATGGGGAAATTTTTAAAAACTGATAGGGAAACGTTATTTCTCTCCTTTCTTCACTTTATTAAACACAACATTATTAGAAAACAGTTCAATAGCAGAAAAACAACATGCCATCACCTAAATTGTCTTATAAGGTGTATAGACAGAGACCCTAAGCTACATCTATCTGTGACCTAAAATGCTTGGTCCAAGTTAAACAGCTTAAGGGCAATTCTCATCTGTTTTGTTTGATCTCATCTGTTGACATTTATTTTAAATGTAATTAAACATAGGCTGTGAATTAATCAAAATTGATCACTATTTCCAAAAATGACTGAAAAAATACCAAATAAAACAAAAGTAAATGAATGCCATCCTCCTTGCGATGATGCCCTGGGCAACTGCCATAAAGTCACATCAAGAAATGCTGCTGATCATTCCAATGATCCCAAATAGACTCACATTAGGCCACATGAAAGCAACTGAACCCAAAAATATATTAACCAGTATATAACTGCACTCTCACACAACACGCCTGCAGCAACAGTTAGGACTCCTCCATCCCTTTTAAAAGCGCTTTTGCTTCTGAGGACATTGTGGTTGTAAAACCACATGCTAGTAGTCTGGCCCCGGTGTGATCAACCAGTTTCTGCGGGAATGTGACGGCAGAACCAGGGCCAGATTAACACTTTATTGTACCCTGGGCAACAATATTCAAGGGCTCCATCATCACGACCCAAGGATCACCATAATGTGGTCACATACAGAATATTTTACTGTAATATGCAGTAAATATACTCAATACTTGAATGCCTGACAACACGTAACCCGCCCAGAGTAACCTTTGACCCACCTCGTGTGGACTGACCAATGAGGAGAGGGTCTTAACTTGAGGCCCTCTCTTCATTGGTCAGTCTGCATGAGACTGACTCTCAACTGACATTCAGTCGTAGGCAGCGAAGCGTCTCTGTGCAGCGCAAAAGCCCGGGTGGACAGTTTGTTTAATGTAGGGTGACCATATTTCCATTTCCAAACAAGAGGACAGGGGATCTGTGCCTATGACGTCACACTATGGCAACGCCACACAAACCATGTTGGGACCCATTTTTTGTAAGAACTAAATTAATATCAGATTCTGCCAATTAAAGGGCTCTAAAACAATTCATATGTAAATATTTTGCATATTTAATGCAAAATCTCATTTCTCTGCTTTAGTGCTGCGACAAGGTTTTATTAATAATAAATTATTATACCTTTTGTTTTACTACAGCATCGGTAAGCTTCCTGTGCACAGATTATTAAGGATGCTTGTTTCAGCTGTGAGATTAGACGATAGGATCAATGAAAAAATAAGTTGTCCCACACTCCATGAAAACTTTCAGAGAATCCACAAATAGTGGCTTTCAAATGATTTTGTTACTTTTTGCAAGTTTAGAAAAGAAGCAGATGAGACAGCATGTCTGATAATTTAGTTTTTCATCTGATAATATTAGAACATGTCAGTAATGTCTGAGGGGCTTTTATAAACACCGTATAACTAACACTCCTGGAGAGGGCATGAATTACACAGAGGCTTCTGGGGAGCCCAGTTATTGGGGGGGGGGGGGGGGGGGCATTTTGCCTTGGCCCCCAAAATGTCTTGAAACGGCCCTGTGTGTGACTGAGTTTTGAAGGTGATCTGAATTGTATCAGATGTATAAATATTACATGTGTAGAACTTATTGTTTTTTACTGGTAAAAACGTGTAGAGGAGATAAATCTACCTACATTTTACTTTTCAACACTTTGTTTTGTTTTCTTGTTTTTATTTAACTATTTTCCTGTCCTGTCTGTCTCTCATCTTCCTGCATCTCCTCTTAATTCTCCAGAAAATCTGTTGCCTGGATTCTTACCTTTTCACCTCACCAGTTACTTTTGAGCAGATCAAAGGGATCTCCTGACCGAAAAGCGCAGAGCGCGTTTTCGATGCTGCGTGAGGTGACATCACCACAGCACAGGTGATGAGCTCCGCAGTAGCGAGCTTCAGGCACAAATAAGACAGAAAATAGAGAACATGTGCGGACATGAACGATCGTGTGCTAATTATAGTGTTTTGGTTGCGCCACTTTGAGAATGGACCGTGCGCTGGAAGCAGCTGCCTGGATCGCTGTGCAACAATGCGGAACAGGTTCGCAGCAGCGCAAGTCTGCCGGCTCTCCCTCGCGCTGATCTGCGGCTCTCCCTCACGCTGATCTGACTTGCTCTGGTCTGCGCACAACGGCGGGCGGGAAGGGGGGGGCGCTTTTGGAAGAGTTGTGCGACACAACGAATCGATGACGCAATTCGTTGCCAACGCTTTTAGTAATCGATTTTCATTGAATTTATCGATTCGTTGTTGCAGCCCTACCGGTGCCCACTTCCAAATTTAAACTGCACTTAGACACAGAGGGCTGTGGGTGCAAGTGGGGTGGTGTGGTGGCATCAGCTGGCGTAGGCCAGACGATGCCCACACACAGCCATGGAATACACCTCATCAACACGCACTAACACTATATTGGAGCAGGCGGAGGGAGACTAGGGGTCTTAGCACACCTCTGTTGTCGCTTGGCTTCCCGGGGCTGGAGGCTAGGAGGGAGATCAGGCCATCTGGTTGGGGTCTGGGGTGGTGGGTTGCTTTGCTCAGCGTTGGGCAGGGGAGCCTGCTCATCAGCACCCCAGCAGAAAGGGTCGAACTCTGGGAACCGGTAATGGTTTTACCCCATGTGCAGCAGTACCAGGATCAGAGTTAATAGGGTGTGTATGGGGAGCATGAGTGGGTGTCCGGCATGCATTTTTGTAAGTCTTAGGTTGTATGTGCATGTGTGAGCATGAGGGAGGGAGTGTGTGACTATGTCTGCGTAGGACTGTATATGTCAGGTGGGGCCTTTGACTCCTCCCTTCTCCTGGAACTTCTTTTGATGCTATACATATTCGTCTCCCCTCCCCCTGCCACACCTGGTGTGGAGTGCGGTGCCTTGGTCTGCCTGAGTGTTTGTGGCTCCCGGATCAGGGGGTTTAAGATTTTTGGCGTCTGCCTGATCAATCCTGGTGGCTGCCTGGTGGGATCTGGGTCCCTGGGCTCTTCTGGGTCCCCGGCAGGGGTGGGCGCTCCTGGGTCCCCGGCTCGGCCGGCTAGGGGTGGGAGGCTGTGGGTGGGCCTGTGGGCTTGCCGCTGATATCTCCCCAGACTCTGCCGGCTGCTGGTTGTGCCCCCCCCACCCCCCCCCCCCCCCCCCCCGGTGTAATCCTCTGTGCCTCTCGAGGGGGGCGGGGGCTTTACTGGTTGCATTCTCCTTTGGGTCCATGTGCTCTGGGGCAGCTCCTGGATCCCTGGGACTTGGAGCTCTTTCCATCTCCTACACATCTTTAGGGGGCAGATCTGTGGCCCCTCACACTCTCTGTTGGACGCACCTATAGAGAAACCTTACATAAACAAGCGCGTGTACACACACAGGTGCTCACATGGTGCTCTCATAAGTATGGACTTGGGCACGTTCAACACAGGTCCTAAGGCTGTGGTTGGCACTAAATGCACTGTGATTTATTATTGTGTGATTGTTCAATAAAACAATGCAGATTTTATATTTCTTCATCAAGTTGACGCAGTGATAGCTTGATCTTGTTGTATTGTTGTGTGTCCCTTTTCTGTAGGTCTAGAAGCAGACTCTTGTTCATCATTAATTGTTTATTTTTGTGGAACCCCCCACCCCCCCCCCCACCACCACCACCTTTTGTCTCTTCCTTTCTCTTTCACCTCCGTCTCCGTGTCTGGTCGGAATTACAAAGCATTCCAAAAACAATAACAATAAAAATTTAAGTATCAGGCATGACATTAAAAGCAGACGCTTTGATGCTCCACCTGAGAGTAAATCTGTAAGGCTCGTCACCAGCATTCAGACATTAATTCTGTTTGCTTCACAGCCAGACAGGACACGGGAATAAAATAAAATTTAAAAAAAGAATATCTCTTACTGTGTACTTCATCTGGAACGTCTGGATTAGATTGAGGTCCACAAACATGCGAACAGTAGCAAGTGTTGTCTCAGTGTCTGACAGGTCAAAGTCACTGAAGCTGAAGTCCTGAAGACGCAGCGACTGTGCAGATGGAACTGTGGCGACCTTCAAACACAAACACACAAAAGTCAGGAAACAGCCTGAAGACTCAGTAACTGCACTCTAAGTGGATATTGTGAATAATCTAGCTTGACATTGACACAGTAATCCCTCAACAGATTCCAATTTTAGTTTCTGGCGTGTCCACAGCTTTAACAACCCCTTTATGAGCAGCGTGTCACCCAGACTGGATGTAGAAGCCCCTTGCGGACAATGGATCTGAAAAATCAAGCCTGTACCCCAGACACTAATGACCGAGCCTCTGTCTGGCACCAGAGGGAGACCCCTTAGATCAGGCTGAGCAGTTAGCTCCACCACTTTGGACTGAGAGAAGAGCAGAACGTGGTGGTGTCATTAAGGCTGGCCGAAGAGCGGATCTCAACTCGGTTCTATTAGAACACCTGTCAGAAGCTGAAGAACTAGGTTCTGTCTGAGGGGGATTCACACCTGGGGGGCTCGTGTCTGGAAGGGGCAGGTAAATAAAAGCCACCAGCAGGGCAACCATTCCTCAGTGTGTGTGTCTGCATGTTAAAAACACATGCACGTGTGTGTCTGCATGCACCTACGTGTGTGTGTGTGTGTGTGTGTGTGTGTGTGTGCATGTTAAAACACATGCACACACACACACACACACACACACACACACACGTTTCCTTTCCTTTTTCCATTACAGCCTATCGGGTAGCTTCATACTAGTCATTCCTTCCACCCAACCAATGAAAATGACAGACCCAAGCACGCTCCGTCACCAAGCCCTCCCCTCTCAAACCTAAAAAGACTCAATGTGACTTAAACAAGAAATTGTCCCAAAAAGGCTCCAGTACCTCACCCGTGTGGCGATATTTTCATTCTTACAAGTCTGACTCAAAACAAACAACAGCAGTCTGCAACAGAGTCGATAGAAACAAGTCTGGTAATGCAACCAACGTGTTTGATCATCTAGTAATGACGTAACATGGCCAGGGCTGCACTTACAATGTATTTTCTAAAATTTTCATGTAGTTTCAACATTTATTGATATAATAAGCTTTTTTTCTATATCGTCCAGTCCTAGTGTGTGCATGCGCACGGGCGTACAAGTGAGTGAGTACATATTGTGTTCATGTGAACTTGGGTGTGTGTGTGTGTGTGTGTGTGTGTGTGTGTGTGTGTGTGTGCGTGTGTGCGTGTGTGTGTGTGTGTGTGTGTGTGTGTGTGTGTGTGTGTGTGTGTGTGTGTGTGTGTGTGTGTGTGTGTGTGTGTGAAAGCATGTACAGTTAGTTTGCGTGTTAATAATAATAATAAAATGAATTTACCACTGTTACCTGGAGTTCCTGTGATTCTTCCTCTGTTGCAGAGGCGTGATACGACAGCACCTGGAACACACACACGTATAAAACTGATCTTAGATTTCTGTCTGGTCCATGGCTACATTTTATAAACACATGAGGGATTTGATGGCAGCAAAGTTGTAGATTTGCTGCTCCTCCACAACATGAAGAGCCAGTTGAGGTGGTTCAGGCATCTGGTTAGATTGCCTCCTAGACTGGTGGCTGCTGGTTGCGACTCCCGGGGTAAGCCTCTAAGGAGCGGGTTGGGGCTTCTACGGCAGCTGCCTCCCTGGGGTTCCTGCACAACGGTGAGACCCTCAGACCTCTAGGGCTTGGAACTCCACCTTCCACACGTCTTTGGGGGGCAGATCTGTGGCCCCTCACACTCTATATTGGACACTCCTATAGAGAAACCTTACATAAACAAGCGCATGTACACACACAGGTGCTCACATGGTGCTCTCATAAGGATGGACCTGGGCGTTTCCAACACATCACCTGTGTGGTGGCTGTGGGTGGCACTAAATACACTATGAATTATTACTGTGTGTTTCTCAGCAAAAACAGTTACTTTTATATATCCTCGTGTTGGTGCAGTCATGTTTTGATCTTGTTGTATTTTTGTGTCTCCTTTTCTCTTTCTGAAGGTCTAGAAGCAGCTTTAATTGCTGTTATTGTTTATTTTTGTGATCCCCCTCCCCAACCTCATCCTTCTGTCTGCCCCTGGCATTTTTCTGTACCGCCGCCCTCAGGGTGGGTTGGGGTTGCAGCCCACATTGGAGAAGTGTAGGGCGAAAACATTTCCATTTCCAAAGAAAGAGGACAGGGGATCTGCGCCTTCGCTATGGCAACGCAGTGTATTAAGAATCAGCTGTGAGATTAGACTATCGGATCAATGAAAAATAAAAGTGTGGACTTCTACTTTCAGAAAGTCTGCAGGCAGTGGCTTGGCTGGATGTTTTTTTTGTTACTGACAGTTTTCTGCGAGTTTAGAAAAGAAGCAGATGAGACAGCATGTCTGGCCGTTTTGTTTTCTTCTGACAATATTAGAACATGTCAGTTGTCTGAGGTGTTGCTACAAACAAACTGAGTAGGAATTACACAGAGGTTTCTGGGGGAGCCCAGTGATGGGGGATGGGGGTTCTGTTTTGCCTTGGCCCCCAAAATACCTTGAAACAGTGTGTGTGTGTGTGTGTGTGTGTGTGTGTGTGTGTGTGTGTGTGTGTGTGTGTGTGTGTGGCTGACCTCTAGTGTGACCTCCTGCTTGGCCATGGCTCTCTCCACAGTCTCATACATCTGTGTGTTTTGGATGCCGAGGCCACAGAAGATGGCAAACGCCTCCAGGAACTGCTCGTCGTTTCTGTTAAACGCCTTGATGCTGCAGCACGATTCGTCCATTTTATTCACCAACTGGCACACACCTGAGAACACACAAATGCTTCATCTCTAACTTTGATATAGTCGATATATATATGACAAGGGTGCACATAACCAATGCACAGGCATGCACAAAAACTACTCAGTATGTTCCTCTTCCTTTACCACGACGCTCCTTTGTGAACCAGTGTTAGTCTGGTACTTCCGTCCTATGTTAGCTTGAGTTAGCGTGTAGCTACTCTCCCGCTGATCTCTGATCAAGGCGGAGCATGACCTCACATCAGCAGCCAGGGTGCCAGGCTCTAATCTCACAGTCCCAGGCTCTTCTTGTGTTGTTACATATTACGGCTCCACAGTCGACCAGCAGAACTACAGCCTTGCACGGAAGCCATGCGGCCACACGGGTCGGCTACTGAAGCTCCTTCGTAGCTTCTTGGGTTAGCTAAGTTAGCTAGTAGATACATTGGTTCACTTGTTCCAACTGTAACAGCCTGAGACTTGTGACACGGCCAAAATGGCGGTGGTGGGAACCTCCCATTTTTCATCAAATCCATATGACTTGAGCCAATGGACATAATTTGTCTAGTATATATATCAATAGTGTCCACACATAGATGTTGGATAAATTATGGATACATTATTTTAAACGAAACTCATCCAGCTTATTCTTCCCTGGCAACAGACAGGTGCTTGACCTTGCCTCTTCCCAGTCCTAGCTTATCAGTAAGAGCGCCCTGTGCCAGCGCATGCTTGTCCCCCTAAATGTGTGTGTGTTTTATCATTTCTGTGTCTTTTAATAAATACTCTTGAGAGGGCTTTGGTTCGACAAGAGAGCAAAGAGATCACCGACTTGTGCGTATCATTTTATCTCTCTCTCCACTTTAAAAATCTAAATGGTTTATTGTTAGTAAAATTAGAATGGGTTAAATTGTTCAGCTTAATAATAAAACCCCTGCGTGGTGAGCTTTCCGTTCCGGTAACCCTGGATGGGAAAATGAAAATACCTAACAATAGTATTTATTTATTTTTTTCATTTTTACAATTTTCTCTGCACACGATAAGAAGAGTCAAGAAACCATGTTTGCTGTGGGTTTTTTTATGATTCAAATTTATGATTCAAATTTACTTCGACCTACAACAGCAAACCTGACAGACATCAATAATAGCTCAACAGACTCTGGGTCTTCCGGGTTTTTGGACTTGAAGGTCTGACATGTTGTGTAAAAACTATTATTTTTATCATATTTTTAGGTACAATGTGTTGCTACGACACATACAGTGTGAGCAGTCAGGTCGTATCTAAGCTTTGGGTCGTACAGTTTGAGAACAAGTTTTCGCTCTGCAAGGAAGTCATACAATTTGAGATGGAGCAGAATTATGGAACTAGGATTGGGACAATATTACATGTAACTTGTACCAAGCTTTTTAACCTGTAACATGTTTTGTAACTGTAACTTTCGTTACAGTTCATTTGGTACATAACATGAAACTTTATTGTCCCAATTCTAGCTTCCTTCCCAAAGAGCCAATGACAGGCTTTGTACAGCCAATCACGAGTCTTGGCTGTCCAAGACAATTCCTGTTGGAAGCAAGCTAGAATTGGGACAAAATGTTTAGTACTTATAGACTTGACTTTTGTAACTGTAGACTGAGATTTGTGTTTTGAAAGTTGTGATTTGAAACTTGTAAATTGATTTTTTTCTGTAAGTTGCTAAATAAAAGTTTCATGTTACGTATCAAAGTTACATGTTACAAAATGAGAATTACATGCTACAAAACTAATTTACCTGTTACAAAACAAAAGTTAGGTGTTACAAAACAAAAGTCACAGTTACAAAACATGTTACAATTTACAAAACTTGGTACAAGTTAAATGTAATGTTGTCCCAATCCTAGTTCCATGCAGAATGCTACCAGTGAAAAAGTCACAAAAGGTTTATTTACATGCAGAATATTCATGAGGTCATTTACATTGACCGTTTTGGCAGAAAATGGGTGTAGGAGGCAGGATGTGATCCAAAATAACACCTGGGCACATTTCTATAGGGAGTGTAATTTATAAAGCTGGAAATGAAAGTTGAACTGCCCATCATTGTGCATACGTGGTGTTTTAAAGGTCGGGAAAATTTGTATAAGTAGGTTTTCATTTATTTTTGGCTTAGCCTAAGTAAATTTTCTGCAAAGTTTTATGAGGCCCCAGCCGATTACAAGCTCACTCCTGGCGTGATCCACTAAAGCACTAAAGCCACTACAAACTACAGTCGTGTAATTCTTTTGTTGAAATGTAATCAAAAATTATATGTCATGTTTAGGAACTTTAACAATTAATTTCCTGTGTCCCATAAAAGCGGTTTTCTACAGTAGGGCCTGCTGGAATAAAGAGAGTTTAATTTCCTGGAAAGTTATTACAATGTCTGTGCTGTTTAAACAGGAGTCATAAAATCCTGGAGTCTACTCTAGTACTACTGCTTTATTACCTGTAAACAAATTAAGCCTTCCAGAGTAACGCAGCTGGCCAGGCAGTTGATGTAGATGGAAGGTTAACGCCCGGAACACACCAGCTGCAAAGCGCAGCGAAGTGGATCGCTCACGAAATTCGCGTGCTGCCAGTTGCTGCTCTGATCACATCAGGCGGGAATTTTTGACGAGTGCTCTGCTCACGCCTACTGTTTTCCAGTCCTTTGGCTGGTATCAAATATTTATGCTGTATAAATAAAGGTATGGCATGGTATGGTATGGCATGGTATGGTATGGTATGGTATGGTATGGTATACAGGGAGTGCAGAATTATTAGGCAAGTTGTATTTTTGAGGAATAATTTTAATATTGAACAACAACCACGTTCTCAATGAACCCAAAAATCTCATTAATATCAAAGCTGAATATTGTTGGAAGTAGTTTTTAGTTTGTTTGTAGTTTTAGCTATTTTAGAGGGATATCTGTGTGTGCAGGTGACTATTACTGTGCATAATTATTAGGCAACTTAACAAAAAACAAATATATACCCATTTCATTTATTTATTTTTATCAGTGAAACCAATATAACATCTCCACATTCCCAAATATACATTTCTGACATTCAAAAACAATACAAACACAAATCAGCGACCAATATAGCCACCTTTCTTTGCAAGGACACTCAAAAGCCTGCCATCCATGGATTCTGTCAGTGTTTTGGTCTGTTCACCATCAACATTGCGTGCAGCAGCAACCAATTTTTTAGATTTCGTGAGTTTTTGCAAAGCATGTTTTTCTCAGCCTGAGGCGTGGTGTTGAATGAGAAAACAGATTGTTTTACTTTGTTAAATCTTCTTAAATGTTTAAAATGTTTTGTCCTAACCTGTTGTGAATGGAGAGCTTTTGAGGGATGGCAGGTTGTGTCAATTACATTTTTGATTAAAAAAAAAAAATAAAAAGCAATTATCTGACATCTTCTATTTATCGATGAAAACAAATCAATATGAAATAATCGTGATGCATCGGGATATCAAATCGAATTGAATCGTTGACCCAATAACCGTAATCAAATCGAATCGAGAGACAAGTGAAGACTCACACCTCTAGATACTATGGTATGGTATGGTATGGTACGATACGGTACGTTACGGTACAGTATGGTATGGAATGGTACAGTACGGTTAGGGCTGGGCGATATGGCAAAAATAGAATATCACGATTTTTCCAATATTTTATCACGATTTCGATTTTATCACGATTTTTTATCCATGAATAGCATAACTTTAATTGCGTATTAAAGAAGAGAAACATTGAATAAATAAACATTTATTCATATTAGGGATAATCAGCACAGTGCTAACACACTTATATTTTAAACTCACACCAGAGATGATAAAAGCCCTGAGAAAAACAATTACATAAATCTGTTTTTCTCGTTTTTCAAGTAACTTAACATAAATTAAAATCGTAAACATATTTCAAGTGCAAACATGTCAATTGCAAACGTATTGTGCAAACATTAACTTGTTCAAAATACTATGTAGCTCCCAGTTGCTCATGTAGTGGATAGTTAAGCTCAAATACGGCTCTGATGTGCGGCTGGACCAGAGATCTCTTGTGGTAGCAAATAACTGCGCATTCTGAATATTTTCTGCAACAAGTCTCTAAATAAAGTAAAATTTTCCAGTGCAGAGTGGAGACAACCCATAGAAGCACTGCTTTGATCTCATTTCAGAGAAAAATAGAACAGGTTAGATGCACCTAATAAATAAAATTACTAACAAACTCAGGAATCTTTCTTTGCTTCACTGTTCTGGTGCTGAAAATATCACTAATGCGGATCAAAGGAGATACACAGATGAATGCACCTCTTATTTATTATTTGGAAACTACATTTACTGCAGCTGGCAGAGGCAGAGATTGTTTCTATTGATACACGAATTTACAGAATCATTTTAAATGTTAATAGGGGAAGACTGCAGGAGGGAGCGGTAAAATACAGCAAAAACAAGAAACTACGAGTCTGATGAAACCCGCTGGTTTTCCATCAGGCAGTCACGGGGCAGCTCCAACGGCCCAGTAACCGAGCTCAGTCCGGCTCGGCAGCCGAGGCGACGTCGTGCTCTGCTTAAGAAGCGGTGTTATTTTCCTGCTTCAGAAGAAGCGTCCAACGTGTTTTTACGCTTTCTCCGAGACATGTCACGTCGCTAAGTTGTTAGCGCCGCGCGCTAAGGAAACCCTGCGTTCCTCTTCGGAACGAAAACCTCGTTGTCGCTCAGCCGCGGCGAAGCCATGTTTGTTCACACACAGGTGAAAACAAGCGGGGCACTAATATATTACTATGGCTCACTCTGATTGGTTAAGGGTCAAACAAAGGCGTGTCATTCGCCTGGGGTAAGTTCCCTTTTCATTCAGAGGCAGAAATTCAACAGCAGAGCTTTGAATCGTGATAAAAAGGTCTCTCAAAAATGACAGACCGTCAGATGTGTAGATCGTAAAACGGTCTAAAATCGTCATATCGCCCAGCCCTAAGTACGGTATGATATGGTTCATTCTTCGTAAGAGATTTAAAACAAGACTAAGATGCAAACCTAATCTGTAAAGGCAGCACATTTCAAAGGCTTGTGTAATGACCTTCAATGGAGGAAGAACATTAATATTTAAGGTGGATGGGCCGAGTCCAGGCTTTTTCGGTAAGGGCTGAACCACAGCATGTTTCCAGTTCCCTGGTACTACCCCTGTGACAAGGCTCTCATTAATAACGGCAAGAACCCAAAGTCCAACTGATGAACAAACTTCAGCATAAGTGGCTAAAACTAGCCAAGAGTAGCCAAACTGGGACTAGAAATAATCTGGCACGTGTGTGGTGTGATAAGCCACATTGCCATCGACCGTTTTGGCATGAAACAGAACATTTTGTTCCGATTGTAAAACCATTCCAGACAACCTACCCAGACAGCTCTAGTCATGGGACTTTTTGGCCCCCTTCTTGTTGTAGGTCCAAAATTTTCTAGAGCAGTGTGGTTAGGGTGTAGCAACAACACAGCCCACTGATTGGTAGACAGAAATACAGCAAAACAAACCTGTGGTATGGCACGGTATGTTATGCTTCATTCCTTGTTTATTAGTAAATGTCCTATTCACAATAGCCTAGCTGAGAAGGTCCGTGTGCAGTTATGTTATCTTCACAGAGCATGTTAAAAATGTAAAAAAAAAAAAAAAGCAGAGGTAAAGCTCCCACCTATGACTTTGTCTTTTTTGCCATTCCTGATGGGCGTGCAGAGCACACTTTTTATCTGGTTGCTGGTGTGATCTGGGTTTTCACTCTGCCAGAAAACAAGAGGGATAATTACTCAGTGTTTAAAAAAGACCTTTACAAAATCAGCACTAAGTAAATGTTTACCGTCCAGGGGAAACGCTGGTCCTTTGTGACATCAGCGATGTTGAGAGGCTGCATGGTGTTTTTCACATAGTGAGCATACATGTAATTAATCTGACTGACATCACAGTCTCTGTAGAGAAACAAGCACACAAAGGCCTCAGGCATGAGTTAAAGTTTATTTTAAACTGTTCATGTTACCTTTTAGTGTAAAAAAAAAACACAATAAGTCAAACACTAAATTAGAATAACATGTTAAAGTGGACTAGAGGTTGTTTTCTCAGATAGTGTAAAAGCCTCGTATACATGGACCAAACGAGCAAACTCTGATCCACCTAAAAGTCTCTCTTCTAAGAGCAAATGGACTAACCTGAAAGAGGAAGCAACAGAAAGTTGTGCATTTAAATAAAAAAACAAGTGGACACCGCAAATGTAAAGAAAATCAGAGATGAAAAAGACAAAAATGCCTCGTTGGCAGACGTGCAGCAGCAACTGATGTGTTGTCAGGAGACAAGATATCTCAGTCACTTGGTGCTCCATTGTTTGTTTTTGTTATTTAAAAAAGGATTGATGGAAATTGTTTTTATCCTTTAATTTTAGTTTTCTACCCAGGTGGTTTGATACAGTTGGATCCACTTTCAAAAGTGCAGAAAAGTGAAGCATTTACCTTTTTCAACTCAACATTACCTTCAGTTGTTCTCAAGAGGAGCAGATTATGTCTAGAAGTACACATCTACAGTTTTTCTCAGTTGCTTAAACACTATAACCTACCTTTTGATGTCAAACTCCTAAACCATAATGCCAATTCTCAAGAAGCACACCCATTTCCCTGCTTTAACACAAATCGCATTTGGTGAATTGTTACTGCAAAACTCTACACACAAATTCCAACGTGTTTCAGTGCTGACACCATGTGGTCATTTAGAAAGCACTAGCAATCATGAAGTCAGCACAGCTTGAGCTTGATTAGCACACAACTAACCCGCTGGAAACATTAGGCGGCACAATTTAACACACCTGTCAGAAATTCTGGTGGGTAGATATATACATGTATACCGTAAATCCTCTAATACAGGCCCGGGCCTGTATTTGACTCAAGCTCATCAAGCTCCAGGCCTTTATTGGAAGGAGGGCCAGAATTAGAGGCAGGTCTCTATTTCTATTTGAGCAAAATGAACTAATGGTTCGCTGGAGTTTTTGACAATTAAAATTGTGCCCACATTTTCAAAGTTAAACACATTTCTTTTAACAACGGTAGTTTCTGCTTCAGTCCTCTCCCCCCTCCCCCTGCGCCGCGGCCGCAAACTCACTGATGCGCCTGCAGCTTCTCAGAGTTCCTGCTGCTCTAAACATTAAAATAATTATTTCATTTTCTGTTCCTCACTTCTGATTACCTTCAATGGTGTCTGTTTGTTGCAACCAGCAGGTACAAAAACTAACTTGTTTTTATTTGACTATTTTTCTGTCCTGCCTGTTTATTATCTTCCTGCATCTCCTCTCAATCCTAAAGAAAAACTGCTACCTGGGTTCATATATATTCACCTCATGAGTTACCTTTGAACTGCAGTTCTAAAAGATCTACCGACCGCTAAAACAGCGGAGTGCTTGCCGGCCACATCAGTGAGGTGCGTCACCGGAGGACAAAACAGGTGATGCGCCCCGCTCCACAGCAGAGAAACGCATCAGGCACAAATAGAAGACAGAAAACATAAAAGGAAATGAGCCGACATGAACGATCGCGTGTTAAATTAGTTTTTGAGGTGGCGACACCTGATTTGACAACGTTACTGTGGCCGTGCTCAGGACGCAGATGTCTGGAGCGCGTCAATATTCAGAGCTTTGCATGTGCAAGCTGGTTAAGGTTAGGATGGGGGTGAGGGGAAGGTTAAATTGCAAGAGGGTAAACGTCACAATTTGGTTAAACGTCCGTATTACGGCGGGTGTCAGTACCGACGCTCTGGCACAGCGCATTGCCCCCCCGAGCGCAGGAGCTTGTCACCTGCTGACAGCAGGCTGCTGTCTTTTCTGAGGGCTGCATCTTGCCGGTCATTATCACGTGACAGCGACTAGTCGATGACAGGCATAAAAAGTCACTAAAGTGAAGTCGACTAGTTCATACAACCCCTATTGCTCCCCAGTGTTGTGCAGCATAATCAGCACGTTTGAACTTGATATCAAATTTTCGCCTCCTCTTCGTCTCAGCACCTGCCAAATCGCGGTCTATCACTGGCAAATCAAAAGTGAGACGGATGACACAACCGCCCCTGTACTTGCTTGTTACCACATTCCACCCGGCCACAATAAAAAAAACGGCCATTATTCACCTCCGCCGACACCGACCAAAATATGATACCCGGCCGTTAACTGAATACAGGCCAATATTAGAGGATTTACGGTATATATCAGACGTCAAGCTAAACAGTCACTCGACAGACAGGGTTAAAAAATATGATCGCCTTTTTCCCCATCACTTTCATTTTTTAAATAGTAATTAATAAACATTCAATAGCATTACAATTTCCTTACTTTTATGCAGTGCTGGTAATTCAACTGAGTATTTGCAGTAGTGACTACTCTGCTGCTTCCTGCTTTGTTTGGATGTTAATATTTTTTTCCATCGTGCATAAAGGCTATGACCCTTTGAACACCATACTTGTTGCTTCACATGGCTTCACTCAGTTTCTGATACACCACATCGCTCCAGGCTAACAGCCCTAAATAATGAAACATGTCAGGTAATGGGAGATCTGCAGCTCCAGGGCTGCACCTGAGTCCACGTCTGAGAGTGCAGCCATCCCTCAGCTATCGGTGCTTAATGAGCCTGTTTGTTATCTTCAATCGCACCAAGCCTAACCACAGAGTCCGCTGTAAGGCTGCAGGATAAACGGAGGAAAATGGATATGTAAACATCACATGGAGTTGAAGGAAAGCCAGAGGATTTGAACTGTAGCTCTGTGGTGGGATGGTATGTGAGTGTGTTGGGGGGGTGTTGGAAATACTAAAGGGACGTCACCTATGGAGCATCCTACATAGTGAGCATTAGGGATGAGCGAGTACACCACTATCTATATCTGTATCTGTTCAACCAACTAAATTATCTGTATCTGTACTCGGAAGTGGGCGTGGTTTAACCGGAAGTGGGTGTGGTTCACATCAATATATTAGTTTAAGTCTGAAATTGATATGGATTGATCAGAAGTTGCTGTGTGTTATTGTTTATTTGAAAACTATTTACAGAGCAGCCTCAGAATTGAGATAAAATATTTTTGATCACAATAGTAAAGAAACTATTACAGAACAAGTTTTTCAATAAAATCAGAACATTAATATTTGAGTGCATGGATTAATACATCTGACCTCATGCAGTAGGAACTAGGAAATATGAAATGCTAGAACCAGACACAACTTTATATATATATATATATATATTTTTTTTTTTAACCCTCTGATGCATGAATTATGAGATCTTCAACCATGATTTTTTAAACAATTTTTTTCATTCATCTTTAGGTGTGAATTAAACAAATTTCGACAAATATTTTTTGTGACATTTTGTTAATTTACAAATAATTTATTACACGTCCATCTCAGTGGACAGCGTGCATTCTGAACATGAAATATGTTGGCTTGACTTTCTGAAGTCCAAATAGAGGGGCTCAAATGCAATAAAGTCTTCAACAGCTGTGCTTAATAGCAAAAAATAAATAAATAACAATTTTGAGTACCTGTCCACTGTAGTGACCATTATGCATCAAAGGGTTAATTTGATTAAACTGATTTTTTTCTTAACGTTCTTGGCATTTTCCCCCACAAAGTTAAACATAACAATGTTGATTAAGGTGTGTGTGTGTGTGTGTGTGTGTGTGTGTGTGTGTGTGTGTGTGTGTGTGTGTGTGTGTGTGTGTGTGTGTGTGAGAGAGAGGGAGAGAGGGAGAGAGATGGAGTTAACAAAGATAAAAAACCCGACCGGAGCAGAGGTAGTGAGTAACTGATGCAGCACGTCAGCTCTGTCTTGTCAAATGCACCGTGTACGTTACGAAAAAAGTAACTTTAAATATTCAACCGAAAAAGAGGCGAGCTGAAAAAAAACCTAGGGAAAACTGAAGAAACGTGAGCAACAGTGAAGCAATCACAGCGAGATCCATTACTGTCTGTGTGTGTGCGTGGATGAGCCGGACGGACTGCGCTCCTGACCGGCTGCAGTTTTGTGTGTGTGTGTGGGGGGGGGGGGGGCGCTCTATGTGACTGGCCAATTACAGAGCGTGGAGACAGTCAGTTACCCAAGGAGGATTTTCCTTCAGCACGATTATAGATATTTACGACTTTTACTCGTTTCATGCTCGTATTCGTCAAAAATGCTTTATCCGTACTGGATACTCGTCTGAAACGAGTATCTGGCTCATCCCTAGTGATCATCATGTAGTGAGTGAACATTTCTCACACAGCCTGGTTTTTCCTCAGGACATCTCCTTCACCATGCTGCTGTCTCTTAATCTAAAGCACTCCTCCTTGTATGAACAGTTCGTAGTTTTGCACTTAACCTGCTGTCTCTCTGCTCGGTGTGTGGCCTTAGTTCTTTGTGTCCTGCTGTCTTTTATTTTTGCAGGATTTCACCTAAGTTTGCACTAATTGCTCCATCTAAGATGTGCATTGTGACAAATCAAGATGAAAAAATGAGTACCGTAATTTCCGGACTACAGAGCGCACCTCAATAAAAGCCGCACCGGGCTAAAAGCCGCAGATATCTACTGAATTGAAAATGTAGTTTAACTGAACGTAACTGAACTGATCAGTATCAAACAAAACAGAAAAGTTATTGATTAGTTCATTCATCGTCCTCCTGCGCACTGAAACCACTGAAGTCCTCTTCTTCAGTGTCGGAGTTGAACAGCCTCAGAAGAGCTTCGTCACACACCTTTTCTGTGGCGATGTCGGTGTCGCTCTCCGTGTTGCTGTCATCATCCCCGGGTGAAGCTGGGAAAACCAGCAGCGCCGTTTTACTGTGGAAAAAAATCCTCCTGGGCGCTTTCCGTAGCGCTCCTTCAACCATTCCTTCATTAGACTTTCCAGCATCCATCCTTTATGGTTGACTAAAGCCGCACCTCGTTATAAGCCGCATGGTTCAAAGCGTGG